TTTACCTACTTTTGGATTTTTTCTCGCTAATTTTAAGGAAAAAAGTATGCTATTTGACGCAGAAATATGATGACGTCATAAGTTGCGATCCAATACAAAATTCATAGAAAATTATCGTCTTTGACATTTCAATAAAAGTATTGAATTTGGTTACCTATCAACTACTGTATTAGCAGAATATAATATACAGGGTGTAAACTAAACACTCCCGAAAAACAACGACAGGTGACGGTAAAAAACAAGTAAGGAAATGTTTATTTTATGTAATAATATTTGTAATCAACTACTCGAGGCTGATATGAACAACACGAAAACAAAACCGATTAAAATAAAAAAATATATTTTTGGCAATTTGTATTTTTTGCAAAAGTGTACATAAAAGGATAAGTGTTATCAGTAAGTAGTACTACTGGAAGTGAATACGTAACAATTGTAGTAATAATAAATTACGCGGCGGGCGCGGCCACGTATCTATGTACCTAGTGATGAAATGTAAACACGCTCTTGCTTGAATGTGACAAAACTTTTGTAACATTTACCGAACTACACATGTATCTCATCACTCATTATATTAATCATGTCTGTATTTAGTTTAATCATAACATAGAAAATACTGCAATGTAAACTATAACTAGAATGTAAAATAGAATACGAGTCATACTAACTCATGGTTATATAAAACAATGTGTTTATGCTTTCATTAAAGGCTAGATAACATAAAGAATAGATTGGTTTAATTCAACAGCCTATAAGATAAGCGACTGTTAACCTAAGCCCTCTTCTCGCACTTAGAAGGTATGAGCATTAAATTAATCACCACGCTTGCTCAATGCACGTTGGCAATTTCAAACTTATAATTAGAAATTATAAGTCTAGGTTTCCTTACGATAGCCATCAGACCACCACAGATGGGGCCCAACAAGGCTGATGCCGATACGGAGCCGCGTAAAACTTAACGGGTTGCCGAGGCTCCGGCTCGAAGTGCAGGAGAAGGAACGGGGTGGTTTTTAGTCAGTAAGAGTCTGACACTCCCTCTCGCCTCACCCGGGCGGGAGCAGGCATTGGATGATTTTCCCCCCTCAAAAAAAAAGTTTTCGTCATGATGTATTCCTTTACCATGGTCAGTAGTATCTAGATAATCTTAAAAGTGGTTTAATTAGTTGTACTTATTAAACAAAATCACGTTACTATATTGTATTACATAAATGTAGTAATTTTTATAATAATTTGTTGCACTTGTCTCTAGTTGCATTTCCCACTGTCTACCTACTTACACTTAACAAACACAAACGGTAATTTATATTTACGTATTAAATAAAGATACTTCCAGCGAGTGTGCATGTGTCTGGTGGCTGTCTGCTTCACTTCCACGTCAGCACATGCTTGTGACTTGTGTACTTAACCGCTTACATGACATAAAATTACTTTGGTATAAATATACAATTACTAAGAAAAACGTAACTCCAATGACACATTATTTATTGAATAAACACTCAATAAAGTGCGGTATATTTGTATTGTAATATTTGTTTTTTCATAATAATTATAATAGTTTAATCTAATGAGTACCGTTTTTAATAAAATAAATCAACAATGATATCCGTAGTTAAATGCAGCACACGTCATGTTTCCGTCCATTCATTTGATTCATGTTTCGGTGCCGTTATGTAATTACACCTATTACTTTACACCATCTACACTATAAGCTTTGCTAAATACACAATAATTAATCAAAACTGTGTCCACATACTTTGCTTACAACGTATACAAATGTCGTTATGGCCCCGAGGTTTAAGACGCCGTTTCTCATACATGAGGGCGCGGGCTCGAAACCTACCAACAGCAAGTACCAATGTGACTTTTTCCGAGTTGTATGTACTTTCTAAGATTATCTAGACACCACTGACAAACGGTGAAGGAAAACGTCGTGAGGAAACCTGGACTTATAATTTCCAATTATAAGTTTGAAGTCACCCCGGCATTGAGCAATTAAGCGTGGTGATTAATGCTCAAACCTTCTACGTACGAGAAGAGGATTTGCTCAGCAGTGGGCATTTGTAGGCTGTTGATGATGTGTACAAATCACGCATTCTTGTGCTTACTCGATGGTAATGCGATTTTGTGCAGAATTATGTATTTGTTTCACCTCTATAAATAAATAAGAGTTTGTTTGTTTGTTCGTATTGGAACAGGAAACAAAGAAACGTCTAAAGTCATTATTCTACACGGGCAACTAGAACGGCGGACACTAGTATTTTATTATATTTTAATGATTATAATTTTATCAATATTGTTTTTACTTTACCTTCATTACACAATGTTTCTCTTTCACTACCAGGTGCCGAAACGCTAAACCTGAAAAAATCCACAATATAAATTGACTGTAACTACTGTCACACACGTTTGTAGTATATAATTAATATATCTATACTCCTGTCTCTTTGGACGAAAAAGGATTGGTGTTATGATAAATGGTTACGTCTAATCTCTACCATAATGGAATTTTATTAAGTTTGCATTACATAAGCACTGACCAGGTAAATGTAGGCTCGGAATTGCTGATTTGTTTACGCGAGAACAGCAGTTACGTTCCCCGGTAGTAAAATATTTGTCACAGGCTAATTTTTTTCTGTAGTCCAAGACTAATAATGTAATATCCCGCTAAGAAGTTCCACCCAAGCCTTGAACTGATTAGGGAATTTGTTTGGCGTTTGGGAACCAATGCGCAGGCACATCTGAAATTAAATAAAAAATGTGAAATCAATGTTTCTTAGGTAGTAAATGTTTAGACAGTTCTGACTACTTATAACTTTGTAACTTTTGCAGCATGTCTGCCTACACGTACTTAAATCTTCACAAATTTAGTTTATCTTTCGTAATGCATTATTACAAAATTTTCATGTTTGCCATATTTATTTTCAAGCATCTTATGGGGGTAGTACATACCTAAGTATTTGGTTTTGGAAGTCGCATCCAATATACGATACATTATAAAATAACTAAATATCCAGCAATGTATTCCAGCCAATGATTTATGTAATTAGTAAAACTCACCGGTTTGGCGGGCACAGCACATGTCCACAATTTCGGCATTAAGTAAAGAACAGCAAAAATGTTAATAATATGTACAATAAATCGTAATAAATCATATAATCATAATTATTCCTTTTGAATTTTTTTGAAAAATATGAGATTCGTTTGACAAGAATCTTTTTAATTTTTGAGAAAAAAAGTTGGATTTATTTGACAAGAATTTTGACATTATTTTTTTCCTTTTTTGAATTTTTTGTTTTTGTTTAATATACCAGTATTACATAATTAATCGGTAAACCGTTTTTTTTCAATAGCAGAATAATATAAAATAAAATGAATATACTTAATACTTTTTTCCTTTAAAAAAAACTATTTTACTATTTTCAAATTTAATATTTAATACCTATTTTTTATTTATTATTATTATGATTTTGTTATCTGTGCTAGGTTCTAAGTATGACGCCCAAAGATTATAGTAAGTATAAGATGACGCCCTAGAAGGCAACCTAACACAAAAAAAGGCTTATGAGAATAATTAACTCTACGTTTATAAAACAGTAATAAATACAATTTGTAACTTAACACTTGGAATCCCCAGCATTTCCCTTCTACAGTTTTCTATTGCCAGTCAAAGTTTTTTAGTAGCCTTTCACCCTTTAGATTTTCATTATTAAAATTTTCACAGTGCTGTATTTTTTTCTCTTCTTAAATACAGGTAGTTATCCCCAAAGTCGACGATCAAATGGCACCAGGTGAGCGTAGGTAGCTTCGGGCCCTATTTAAATCAAACAAACAAAAAAATCTGTGTAGATTATTTATATATTTTCCATTAAGGTAGAGCCGACATTTATTTAATAACTTAATCACTTATTTACATTACATTAATCCCAGAGCCGATTAATATTTCCTACAATTCAACACCACAATAATAAATTATCCAAATCATTCTAACTAACTAACTAATTATTGATTGCACGGTAGGCGCGGTGGTTGCACACAGAGCAATTCTTTGCGTGTTCCACAGATTGTTGTTTCGGGTCTGGGTGTCATGTGTGTTAACTTGTATGTTTGTAAACGCACTCACGACACAGGAGTAAATCCTGGCCCCGCACGCAACGTTATTAATTAATAAAAAAAATATATTGTAGGCCGTGTTCTACTTCTAAGTCACATTTTTTGCATAGTCACAATATTTTACTACAGCAGTTATCAGTAACCTTGGTAGTAATAAGTAATTAGGGACTAATCGATTAAGTGATCGATATGATTTCGCGAGTATCTGCAGTAGATACTATAGATAGTAGAAGTAACACCTGGACGAAATAATTTTGTCCATGCTAAATAAGGTTATATATAATCATGTATATATCAGTGTAGGTACCTATTTTGTATTGTGTTTAAAGTTCTAATATTATCAGTACAAGTACAAGTTACAACATTAATTTGTATGGCATTGATCAGTCGATTTATTTATTTAATAATTGATGAACACACAAACAGCACATAGGATAACACATATGTATATATAAAATAAGAGTCAAAGGTGCTACTTATTCCTGTTGGAATTTCTTCCAGTAGACCTGAGACAGGTCGTGGAAAACCTAACGGGTAACCGGGGCTCCGGCTCGACGTGCAGGAGAAGAAACGGGGTGGTTTTTAGTCAGTTAGAGTCTGACACTCCCTTCCGACTCACCCAGGCGGGAGCAGTCATTCGATGATTTTCCCCCCTTAAAAAAAAAAGACCTGAGACAGGAAATGTAATTAAAACAAAAGACACAGTGTGTAACAGAAAAATAATTGCAGCAGACGGAGACCCTAGGACCTGTTACTTATCAAAATTTTCAAGTGTTTATTGTTCACGTTTAAGTACATAAGTACGTTACGTTTAAGTAAAACGTAACACTTGAACTTAGGTATTTTTAGTTTATAGTATGTATGTATTAATGAGTCATGTGTGCCTATTGCAGACCCGTACGGCGCGCTGAGCGGGTGCGCGCGCGCGGCCGGCGGACAGGTGCAGCTGTGGCAGTTCCTGCTGGAGGAGCTCGCGGCCGGGGCGCCCGGGATCTGCTGGGAGGTAATGCAAAGCAACACCAATTTCCAACAGGGATGGTCTACTTGCAACATATTACTTTTCACTCCCTTTATAGTACGGCGGGTCAACGTCCATACCATGTTGAAAGGTTCTCGTCCGATCACCGAAGTTAAGCAACATCGGGCGCGGTTAGTATTTGGATGGGTGACTGCCTGGAAATACCGCGTGACGTTAGCCTTTTGACCTTTGAGAACCTAATGGGTTACCGGGGCTCCGGCTCGACGTGCAGAAGAAGGAACGGGGTCGTTTTTAGTCAGTAAGAGTCTTACACTCCCGCCTCACCCGCAGGCGGGAGCAGTCATTCGATAATTTTCTCCCCTAAAAAAAAATATAGTACGGCGGGGACAGAAAATTGACGTCATATACGATGATAATTCAAGTAAGACGCAAATAGATGGCGTTCTTCTCAAAAATCATGTACCACCAAAATACTCATATGTAATAGATCTATTGCTTTTACAAGACAAACCTACTGCCACACACGGTATGGTATAAGTAAATAGTTGTTATAATCATTTATTGTTATGAATTTGTCCAGGGTCCTCCGAATGAGGGAGAGTTCCGCCTGTCAGACCCGGACGAGGTGGCGCGGCGCTGGGGCCGGCGCAAACAGAAGCCCAACATGAACTACGACAAGCTGTCGCGCGCGCTGCGATATTACTACGACAAGAACATCATGAGCAAGGTATACATACATACATTAACCCGTTGAAAATTGTTAAAAATCATCCCCTAAATTTCATACAAAAGTAGTCTCTAAACATCGGAAATAAGGTTTATAGTCATTAGTATTTTCATGCATGCTCGTCGGTTAAGGGTACTTTTAATTTGGCTCTTCTTTAATATATCGCCATCTGGTCGGTATATTAGACTATGTATATATACCCAATATAAATAACGTAATATTATTATACATTAAATTCAATAAAATACATATCTCATGTTACAATCACTATCCACTTATAGAATTTATCAGCAAGCAAAATGGTTTCTCTATCAACGTATGTATCAGCTTCTATCGTTTCCAGACAATATGGTGTGGTAATACCTATATCCTATAATATGTTTTTTTTATTTCAAATATCTTGACTTAAAGTTGTCTGTGTGTTATTCCAGATCATTATTGTATCATTATGTACCATTGTGTTTAAGATCTCCTTAAAGTAACAAACATCTACACATACCTCATACCTATGTACATATTTACAAACGTTTGCTTTAGTTCTTTTAGTAGGAGTATCAATAAACTTTAAAAAACATAGTATGTTACAAAATGTGGAAGATTTCACGACATTAAATTCATTGATGGCATCGACAGGTGCACGGCAAGCGGTACGCGTATCGGTTCAGCTGGGCGGGGCTGGCGGCGGCGTGCCAGGCGCAGGCCGGGGACGCGCCGCCCTACTGGCACTACCTGCCACCCTCCGCCACCGCCACCGACGCTACGACACCTACCACCACTGCGCCCTAGTCCATTCGTAGTCACGTAGCGCGCAACGCTACGCTGTCACTACGCGGAAGGAAAGTGCTACGCCGTAGCTCGTAGCGATAGAAAGTTACTACGCGCCGCGTAGTCGCGCCTGCGAATGTGCTACGTTGTGCATTCAAGTGACGATGGTGGTATTTTGTAATGTAAACTTTATTATACGTTTGTATTCCAATGAAGTCTGTATGTGGTGATACCTGTGCAGGTAGGGGAATATATCCTACGTACCAATTTTATTAAACTACAGCATTCTGTGAAGGTGTACGATCTTTAAAGATAATAGTAATTCTTGTTTGAAAATAAAGTCTAAGAGATTATTTTACCTCTGGAAAACTGTCAGATATAGATTACTAGTTGTATTATACAATAAATATTATACTGTTCAAGTCATCATTGTAAAGTAATTATAATGGTTTAACTATTAAGTCGTTGTGTGCCTGTGTGGATTCACGCGACACACAATATATTTTCTATTGTATCGTATATACCCGGCATTCAAGCAAAAAATTATACCCTGTGACTATGTTATGTACAGATACTGTGGATAAATAACACCGTACGGTTACTGTCTTACTGTCCGTAATGCATAATGTTTGTTGTTACTTCTCAATGACAAACATTACTATGTTTATTATTATAAACTAAAACTTGTTCAGTCTTATTGCATCATTTATTTTTATTTAGTTACTGTGTATTAATTAACGTCATTTAATAATGTTTTTAAAATAACTATCGTGAGACATACTAAATTAACTAAAAAGTACTTGAATATACTGAGTGTTTCGAAACTAGTAGATCTTTTCAGTATATTCACGTGAGTAACCCGCGATTTTTAGTTAATTTAATAATGTTGTTGTAAATTTATACATACATACCTACTTGACATAGAAAAGAAGTAATTACGGCAATACACACACACACACACACACGCACGCATACACACACACGCACCATGGATCAGTGTGTGTATAGAACAGAAGAAATGTTACATAATGTATTATTGTTGTATGTTTGTTCACTGTAGAGTATTATAGGTAGTTACAATAAGTTATTAATATCATCATCAACAGCTTGTTTTCGTCCACTGCTGGACATAAGCCTCTCCAATGGCACGCCACTGAGAGTTATTAATATATACTTATCTATATATTTTACATATTTTTTATATATAAGTAATGTTTATATCTATAATATAACTATAAAGTCTAAAATTGTATAACAGATTGTATGTATACGTTAATACTTATATATTTAGTTGTTTTCATACTAATTAGGTGCTTATACATTAGTTACTGTATGATGAGATCCCGACGGTGTAAATGTTACCTATCTTGGACTATTCTACCTCATTGGACTTTGTTCCCATTTCGGGTAAAAAGTGCTTCGTCAAAGTACTGGCCCAGCTATACTGTTTCAACTGTAAACTGGACTTTTCTATAACTATTACTTTATACTTAGTGTTACTAGTAAGATTTAGTGTTTGATATATTATTGTATGATGTCGTGTTATAAGTAGTTTACATTACTTTAGTGTTAAAATAAGTTTGGATAATATTATTGTTACATTATTCGCTTTTTTTGTTTCTGCATAATAGATAGTTTTTAATATAAATTGTTTCTCCTGACTAAAATACTTTGTTCCAATTAATGGAACGTAAGGAAATTATGTTACTTCTTTGGGTGCGTCCACAACTGGCGAGGCCTATTTCGTTAACGTAAGCGAAAGTTTTTTTTAAACATGAGATTAGTCTTTAGCGCTATTTGCGAAAAATTCCTACTTCATAGCCCTCATTGCGGTGCTTGTAAAGTGTATTACATATTTACATGTAAAAAGGCACGGCTCGGATTGCCGCCAACTCGTCGTCGACGCGGCGTAAGCACGTGGGCACTTCGATTATAACTCGAGTGAACCGCGCGCTGACCACCCGCCGTCGGCTTTTTGTATTGACGTTATGAAATATGTCATACGACATACGATTGAAAGTTCATATTTAAATGACAACTTATTTGCTTGGTTGGAGCCGTGCTTATTAGAAGTGCAAACTTTAATCTATGTAGTTACTTCGTAACGTTGTTTAAGATTGACATAGGTTTAAAATGTTGGATGTGCTTGCTGCGTCAACAATACCTGTTATATAGGCACGTTAGTTATCATGGCATATAACATTTTTTTAATATCATTGTAAATACTTAAATGTTTGTTAAATCATATGCATTGAATTAAATCCCGTCTTCACCAATTTCTCTTAAATGATAAGGCACTCCTAAGCTGAGATAGGTGACATTTAATGTCACTTTGAATTTCGCCGACCTATGAATGGCACCTAACAATACAAGTAATGGGTTAGCTAAGGTGCTGCATCACGCTAAGTAACTTTTACTTAAGAGAAGGTTTCGGGACGGTTGGTGGAAACGGCTATACCTACAACATGTAACGTAATTAACGCACACACTCCAATTAGAATATTATGTTATAATCATAATACATACACTAAAATTTTAATTTAACATGTATATGCATCCTTACTGTTCTTGTCATAAGGTTTATTTTTCTTTATTTTGTATTGAATGATAGAATTTGTATGAATACAAATAAAACTGCGATTTTAAAAGTGCTTTGACTTACGGTCCATTTCGATTTGTTTTAACAATACAGGGTTAATATGACAATAATTTCCGTAGTTTTAATTATTTTTGGGATAAAAAATTACCTATACTAAACTTTATATAAATCGATTCAGTTAACGATTCTGAACAAACTATTTTCAGGATGTGCGTTATTTAAGTTACACGTTGTATATCTTAAATATAATGTTTTCTTGTAATCTAGTAAGTCCAGGTAATGATGGCCGCACTGACGCCGACGTAGTTTTGTTTCGTATCTTTGTTGTTGCATATCTTTTATGTTGTTATGTTACATTTAAACCAGTAACAGAACATACAATATATTATTGACATACTGTGTTAAGGTCCGCATAGAACTTCAAACTTGACGATTTATTGTTTGATTGACAATATCATAATAGGTACACATTAGATTCATCGAAATGTAACAATTAAAATGATAATTTGCAACGGTTCCTTGTCAATTGTATATAGTTGACAATAGTAATAAATTTGTGAACATTGTCAATGTTTTATTTATTTATGTCCTTTGACACACGGTTCCTGCTTCAATGTGAAGGGATGTGTGTTATCTGTCGATACAGAGCTAATGCTCTCAGTCCACTAGCTTCCTACTTTAGCTTGTTATTTATAAATACAATACAATCACGGGCGTAACACATGATGGGGTATAATGTCCAATACCCACACACCTACAATAACGGACAGATTACATTGGATGATTATAGGAATACCAGAACACACTGTACCTATGTGACTACAGGGGTACAATGGCCTCTAAAGCTATGGCTCCAAAAGCCATCTTGAGCTAGTATGGATGCAATAGACAAATATAGTCCTGCAATATTTAAATGGAGTGATAAATATGGATGTGATTATGGATAAGTGGAATGTGGGAATTGGTAACATTTACAATAATAACTAAGTAGTGCATAAAGCCCAACGTAGCGCGCTGTCCTTGCGAGGGCGGATACTGCGCCGATAGCGTGCCCACGCGCAGCGCCACCCGCAGGGGCGCTCAACTAGTGGATCAGTTTCTTATGATATATTTTGTGAAAAAAGGCAGTTTACTCGCCACTAAGTTACTATCTCGCCTGGCGGTAAGCGATGATGCAGACAACAATAAACGACGCCTGTCCATTAGCTGTAATTCACTCGGACTCTGATGACGCTCAGTTATAGGAAACACAAACTCTGACAAGTTTCAATAACTGCAAGCGATTGGACGCTATAACTTTATTGTCTCGTTACATGACATACCTACTCGGACACCAGGCACAACATTTCACTGCAAACGAACGACGCAAATGGAATATTTGGTTTAAGATAAAAACAATAATTATGCAGTTTGAGCGTGTGTTACACCAAAAGTTTGCGATCCCTGTGCACGGGTGCGTCCCCGCACAGCTCCACACACTGTGCACAACTCGAGTTGTCAACATGGCGCCGCACTGGACAGGACTGCTCGCCTCACTGCTGCTTTGCATATATGGTAATCTTTCCTCTAATATTTACACATCGTAACCCACCCTCATTTAATGTAAAAACTTAAATACATACAATCTTAAAGTTAGCATGTTTCATAGACGATGTCAAGGTTATAGTTTTTGTTGGTGTGTTGCGCGTCAGTGCGCGCACAGTGGTAACGTGTGGAGTGTGTGCAGGAGCGGCGCGCGTGCGTGGCGACTGCGGCAACGCGACGCAGCTGTCGGTGCAGCTGGACACGCTGCTGGCGGAGTATGAGCGCGAGGCGCCGCCCGCCGCCACCCTGCGCGTCACGCTGGCGCTGGACGTGCGCCACGCCACCGTCGACGACGACCGCGCCGTCATGCGCCTGCTCGCTGACCTCAAGATGGTGACTGCTACACACGCTTCCTTATTAATCACTAATAATATCTCTCTAATGAGTCTTACATATTGTGCTAGTTCCACAAATGACCAAGTGAAGGCAATCATTCACTCATTCATAATAAGTTCAGTGAGACACTGCAGACTACTTACACAGAAATAGTTGATGCACAAACAATTGCAAAATAAGTGCAAAATAAAGTAACGGTATTTTAGTGCAAACTGAATTTGTAAGAGAGATACGCCTACACCCGTTTTATCATTTCCCGTTCAACGGATGAGCCATTGTGTTCGACATTTGGACTATGTATCTAATACATCTGTTACATTATGTACATGTCTCTGTGAGTAAGCGGTGGCACGTGTGTGGTGTTGCAGTCGTGGCAGGAGCCGCGTGTGCAGTGGAACGCGTCGGAGTGGGGCTGCGGCAGCGTGCTGACGTCAGCGGAGCGGCTGTGGCTGCCCGACGTGGTGCTGCTCAACGCGGCCGCCTCCAGGGTGGGGGACGCTGCCACGCGCGCGCGCCTCTCCTCCACCGGCGCCGTGTCCTGGCTCACGCACCTCGACGTCACCGCGCCCCTCGACCTCGACCTCTCGGACTGGCCGCGAGACACACAGACCTGCACCTTCACCTTCGGCTCCAGAACCTACAACAATGAAGAGTTGATACTAGATATCAGTGAATTTAAAGTAAGATCTTTCTCTTGCACAAAACTATGTTAAATAAAGTTTTTTTTTAAGAATTTGTGATTTACTGGTGACTGTGCGACCACTAGTGACTGTGTTATTGATGGTTGAGTGTTGGTTTCCAGCACGCCGTAGTGTTCGAGACGGGGGCGTGGGAGATGCAGTCGGTGGCGAGCGACGCGATGACGTGGCAGCGTGGGCCCGAGGAGGTGAGCGTGGCGACGTGGAAGGTGCGCGTGTCGCGGCGCGCGGCGGCACAGTCGCTGGGCGCGGGCGCGGTGCTGGCGGCCGGCGCGCTGCTGCTGGGCGCGGCGGCCGCGCTGCCACCGCACCAACGTGCGCCGCTCGCTGCCTGCGCCTCCTTCACCGCCGCACTCTGGTCAGCACGCTGATCTACTGTCGAAGTCTACTCATTACTTGCGTGTGTAACAGACGCCTGTGACAATGTACGCCGTATGTCGGCAGGCTGGTGTCGGCGCTGGTGCGCCTGCCGGGCGGGCAGGGCACGCCGCGCGCGCTGCGTGCGATGTGCGCGCAGTGTGTGTGCGGCGCGCTGAGCGGTGCGTGCGCGGCGCTGGTGGTGCGGCTGGCGCGGTGCTCGCTGACGCCGCCGCATGCGCTGCGCTCGCTGCTCTCGTCTCTCTCCACGCTGTGCAAACTGACGCCGTCACCTGTAAGTCTCCTCGGTAATTACCACTTTAGGATTTACCAGACACCTCTCTGCCTCGCCCCAATAAAAGATTGCCGCCCAATATAAGTAGGCGCTTGATGTTATTTTAAGTCAGAGGCACTGAAACCTGGCGACGTAAGCACTTGGCTGGTTTGCCTTAGGGGTAATACGGCTCCGTGTTAAGTAGGTATATTAGTTTAGATATAGTTTTGTACACGCATGGAACTCGTAATACGTTATGTAGCAGTCAGTCGTCCAGCGACAGCGTCAACCATGTAGTCGGTGCAAGATATAATAATACTAACTGTTCCCAGCGAATTCGTCCGCATATAAAAATGACTTCTGAAATCTCTCAATGAAATTGTGTATCTACCAAATCTTTTCAGAATAGATGCCATTCCCGTGAGATTTCTGTAATTAAAACTCCGTTTCATTTGTAATAGGTAAAGCGGTTATTGAAACTCTCATGCGTTATTGTCCGAGTCTCAAACTATCGTAGTACCGAATTCCACTCAAGTAAGTTCAATGGTTTAAAGATAGAAAGACACAGAGGCTTAACGCAGTTCCTGTAGTTTTTTATTTTTTTTTTTTCTATATCTACTTTAATTTTTGTTGCTTTCCTTTAATTATGTCATTTACTGGAAATTATTATTCTTAAGAGTGTTAAATGAATAAAGAAAGAATCGAGTCAGTCCCAACACAAGTATTGCATAATAACTTACTGGGACTGCCTCAATGTTAGACAGATATTGTAATTCTTAAGATAATAATAAATAATAAAGAATAAAAGAAAGTCCCGTGGGATTTTTGAGATAGAACAATCATACGTTCATTCTAGTGCCTGTGTCTCAAACTCTCGTTGAACCGAATTTTAACCAAAAAGGTTCAGTGGTTAATAATATTAGTATTCAGCCTCTTTGCATACCTTAATGTTCATGACATAGATGTTCATGATAATAAAAAAAATGTCAACGATCTGTTGACATGAAACTCACTTGTCAAAAATATGAGAGATAACATGAAAATGTATACTTAATATAATAAATTTGTGTGTGACTGTTTGTTTTATTAGAATTCGACGTGATTTTTTTATTGAGTGGAGTTAGTTGAAAGGGTTAAAAGCAGCATAGGTTACATTTTATTTCTTTCTAACCCAAGACTTTCCTAAAACAGGGGGTGGCAGTTAGTATGGAGCATTTCGTAATTTCCAAGAAACCTAAAAGTAGTATCATATTTTTGTGACCAACAAAACATCGGGCACCAATACTTTAAAAGAACGCGAGCGAAGCCGTGGGCAGAAGTTAATCAGAGAATAAAAGTTAGTCAGTTAATTGATTTCATATTTTGCTTTAAAATCCCTGATTCTGATGCAGCTAAATACTATGTATAATTAGTCCCTGAAAACAGTGTTCTATTTGCAGTCAAAGACTTAAGGAGCAATATAAGGTTTTTGGTAGATTTTTCACAAATCGGGTTACATTACATATCGAAATTGTCACACGGTTCCCTTTTTTCTCTCTTTTATTTTTTTTTTATTTTTTTATTTTTATTTATTTAGAAAACCAACAGCGTTACATATAGTTTACAATAGTTTGCGTGAATTACAGATATTAAGGCTAATAATAGGCTTCCCTTATTTTCTAGATTTTGTAAACATGCGAACGGACTTAATTAGTTAATTAATTAATTAACTTAACAAAATAAGATTAATAACAAAAAAATAACAAAAAATGATTAACTTAATCGGTTAGTCAATTACAAAGACTTAGATTTGAAATAATGATTCAAGATACGGAGTCGGTGTCCGGGTGCTTTTATTAATGCATTTAATGATGTGTTCTTTAAATTTAGGTTTAGCACAACTGAATAGATCTATTTCGGCGAAGTTATTATTGTGTGTTCGGGCAATGCGAGTCAGTACACAATTTTTTGCATTTAGTCGAGCGCCGAGGTACATGTATCATCGGCGTATGGCGAGTGCGTCTTCTGGGAACGTTAAACGTTATCTGCTGGACCAACTCGGGGCAATCCAAGCGGCCATTAATTATATCGTATAGTAAACACATACCATTACTCTACGTCTTTCCTCGAGTGTTAGCAGTCCATACGATCGACAGCTGTCTTCGTAGGACATCGGAGCTTTACGAAGGCGATAATTGAGGTGGTTGACAAATATACTTTGAATACGTTCTAATTGTTTAATATAAGTGGCATATTGCGGGGACCATTGGGCACGCATATTCTAGGACACTGCGGACATATGCAAAATATACCAATTTAATAGTTTCAATGTTTTTAAAATCTTTACAAGACCTAATAACAAATCCCAAGTTCTTATAAGCCTTTGTGGCAATGTAATCAATATGATTAGAGAAAGTCAACTTGTCGTCAAACAAGACTCCTAGATCTCGTACTGCCACGGCTTTACTAATAACGATACCATTAAAGTGATAGTCGTAGGTTACAGGGATTTTCTTACGTGTATAACAAATATATTGACACTTTGTTACGTTAACAGTTATTTTGTTTAAAATGTAATAATCATGCAAATTACAAAGGTCTTCTTGAAGCGCACTACAATCTTCAATTGACCTTATTTTATAGAAAATTTTCTTGTCGTCTGCATACATTAAGTGTTCCGAATATTTAAAGCAGTTAGTAATATCGAACAAATACGCGTTGTAGAAAAGAGGCCCCAAGTGAGAACCCTGTGGAACGCCACTAGGTATATCGACAAAGTTTGAACTCTCTTATTAAATATACCCTACATTGATCATCCTCGATAATGTAGGATTGTAACGGTAAAAGAATTTTTCAAATCAGTCCGCCGTCCGGTAGTTTCGGAGGAGATCAATTGAAACAAACAAACAAAAGATTATATAGATTTACAATTAGACAAGTAGCGCCATCTAGTAAACGTCACATTTTACTTTTCGTGGCCCTCGTTTCGAATTTCATCATTGTATTTTTTTATACGAATACGATTTATATGTCTTCAAAGAATCTAATTAAATAGAGTCTAAAAATTTCGACCTTCGAACGTTCTGTTTATTTTAACTTACTCAATTTGTAGTTTGGATTGGTTACTCATCTACTAGGATGTAGTGTACCTACCTTAAATCGTACGTTGTACCTACACATACATGTATAACGAGTGTGGTGGACGACTACTAGTTACTTAAACAAAACAAACCATTCCATACTTGTGCGTACTTGTATTTTTTTTATTCTGGAATATCTTGAGGTAACGTGGCATGCACATGCACAGCTCATGATACTGATTCTGAGAGACATTAATAAAAGTCTACGCTGAATTTGTGATACGTTTTTATTGATTAATATGTTGATTGTTTGTGTGATCTGTGCAGGAGTCGTGCATGTCATCGGAGAGCGGCACGTGGGCGGCGGCGGCCGTGCTGCTGGACCGCGCGCTGTCCGCCATCATACTGCTCGTGCTGCTCATACTCATCATCGTACAGCTGTCCTAGCGCCGTCACCTAGCGCCGTCACCTAGCGCCGTCACCTAGCACCGTCACTTAGCACCCATGCTCACGGTGCTCGTGTAGTTCTCCTAGCGCCCACCGGCTCGAGCAGCTCTCCTAGCGCGGCCATTAGTTCAGCTCACCTAGCGCTCGTGCTCGTGGTCAACTATAGCGCTGTGTTCTAGTGTTCGTGGAGGACGCTGTGTCCATAGTTCCATGCACTCACATTGAATGCGCGTGTGTAATTAGTGCATATTTTCTGTAAATATCAGTGCCACGTATTAATAAATTTTATCATTAAATTTTGTTGGATTTGATTTTACACCCGCTGATGTAAGCATTGTGTAAAACTTACGTGGCTAGTGTAAACTTTACTCGAGTCAGTAGGCCGCCGGCGTGGAGTGCGCGGTGTGTCGCTGCAGCATGTGTGCGCCGCGCTCCCCCGCCAGCAGCACCACCGACATTATCGCACCCAGCGCCAACACCTGCTCTCATATATACTGTAGGCGCTTCACATAAATTATTAATACATAGTAGGTATGTACGTAAGTATATACCTACGGTATGTTATGTACCTATTGCAAATTCTAAACGCTCATCTTGAAAATGATTGATGTGATAGACACTATGTGCAATTAAAAATCTTTTAATTATTACTGAGAATTTTGTAATAAAAATATTGCTTGCTTGAGATTCACTCGACTAAGCAACATCATAAAATGAACAATCTCAGCTGGTAGGCTGTACCTGCAGCGCGGGCAGCACGTCGATGAGTCCGATGCTGACGAAGCCGGTGCCGGCCGCCTCGCACCGCGGCCGCGACACCAGCCACACGTGTCGCGCGCGGTCCATCAGCCCCACCTCGCGCTGCCAACGCAGTCTGAACAACGCATTACGAAATTGACACTGCTTACACATCTACATCTACCATAATTCACGAAAAACATTAATTGTGATCAATATACAATATCACAATATACGGACAAAATTATTTTTAGTATTAAATTGGTTGTCAAACCCGAACAATAGATGGCGCCACAACCCTGTTACACGTTAAAAAATATCGAAACAAGTGCCATAAGTGGGAGAATCTTAGACAGCGGATTCGAGTTCTGAAATTATTGACTAAAAATATTGTTTTCATAGTTGTATATAACTGACTGTAGTTGAAAAAACAATCTAATTTTTGCGTTTATTTATTCTTTTTACCTTATACCCGGTATAAACTAGGTATTATACTGGGCGCAGGTATAATGTGTATACATATAATGGAAAGGGAAAGTAACCTGCTAGCGAACAATTCCCTATATCCGGAATGTTTCTTCATGGGCACGGCCACCAGCGGCGGCTTGAACGCCTCGATCTCACTGAGACTGCACTTCTCGCGCTCCGTGAACGTCTGCTTTATTATATCGTAACCAGAACTCTTCTCCACCTGCACGTTCACGTTATTGTTACATCATTTATTAGCCATCTTCGTTTTTGGTTACATATTTCAAAGATAAAGGGTCTTTTCAAACAGATGGTCAACATTAAGGATCCAATAATGTACCTACTGTAAGTACTTAAAGGATATTAATAGTTCTATAAATGAGATTGTTCAAATAACATCGTAGTATGTGACTGGCCTGGAAGGCGAAGAACCCAGTGCGCACGCGCGCTATGCCGTCCACGACGCTGTGGTATGCGCGCTCGCCCTGCGGCAGGATCTTATGCCGATACAGCTGCTGCGTCGACTTCTCCGGACTCTCCTGCAGTCAGACGTAGCTCATAAGTATTTAAATTATAATAAAATGATAAAATTAATTAAGTACTTAACTACTTGAGTAGTTTAAAAGCACTTATGTGTAGTATATTCATAATGGTTAACTCTGCTTATCAATAAACCGGTTTGTATATCGATAGGTACTCATTACCGACTCAACTAAAAGTGAACGAAGAATACGTGGATACTAGTCGGTCTAATGAGAGGAACCACACCGACAGCGATGTGTTATTTACTGCGCTGATTTAGATCCTGAGTTCCTGAGAGCCAATACTCACGAGAAAGTAAACCGTCCTGTAAGTGGTGTCCTGGACGCCGATGGTCATGGGGGAGCGCACCAGGTCGTCGATAGTCTGCAGCGCGGTGCTGGGAGTCTGCAGGATGGCCACGATTTTGGCAGAGTACGCCGTGAACACGAACAGTGACGTCAGCAGCGTGCTGAACATCACTAATCGCACTGACGTCACCGGTGGCGTCCTATGGAACCCTGTGATAAACGTAATTAAGTAATACTTATAATAGGTACGTTTAATAAATAAAACTGCACAGAATATAGCAGTAGATGGCGCCACACCGTCTGTTAGGGACATGTTTAAAAAAAATTACTAAGTGACATGATAACTGCTATAGGTTCGTGTCCTGCTCCTGTTATTTCGAAACTTAAAAATTTGCTTAACTTAAAAATATACCTAACTTACGACAAAATCAGCTACAGTAAATGTTTTAACGATTGTAAACCGATAATATAGGTACTTAATTGACGATGCTCTCCGCTTTCTAGATAGTAAATATTATAAGTACCCACTAAATTACTAACGATGTGGTAGTACCATGTAATAATATGTGTAAGCACCTTGCTGGCACATGGAACCAAGTGCAAACGTGACCGCCTCGAGCAGCGTGAACAGTTGCAGGTCTGTCGAGGCGCGCGTGTGCTGGCGCAGGCGACGCAGCGCCACCAATAGCAGCGCGGCGCTCGCAGCCACGCAGGCGCTGGCGCCCCACACGCCGGCACTGAACGGCGCCAGGAACACGTTCGACACGGCCGACCGGGACGGTTGCCGGAAGATAAACGCGCACCTGTGCACAATTTTATACCATAAATTAATAATTTTTCCTCCATAATAGTTACATAAAAAAATATGTTAAAATATGAGCTCTATTTTACCAATCAAATCTACTTATGCCTTTACATTTGACCTTCTATTTTTGCAGTTTCGGGTCGCATCTATATAAGACGATATTGGTTGCATTAAAAAATAATTGGATGCTTTGCCCAAATACTTCGCAGGACACAAAATGTATTTAAGTGTTAATTAAAAATTACGAGTTGTACTCACTTTACGTGACATCGCCACGAGAGCGCACGCTGCTCATGAGGAAGAGTCCCTCTGTTACTCGAAACTAGTAGAGCTTTTCTCAGTGTATTTACGTAAGTAGCTCGTAATTTTTAGTTAATTCAGGATGTCTCCCGATAGTTATTATAAAAATTTTGTTTAGTATTATGAAACTTCTTTTGACCTCATAAATATTCATAATAATGAAACCGTATTTTAAATTCTGCTTATTTTGAGTTAAGACGACTTAAATAAACACGCCATCAGCGCATAGTGTTCTAGCTGCTGTCCCACTTTGATTTCATAAAATGTGTACAATGTGCAACCTAACGTTAATATCCTAAACACGGAGTTTGGAACACCAAACCTCAGCTGTTGAGGTTTAGTGTTTCAAGCATTCTTGTCATATTAAAATATTCACGGCCAAAAATAGGCGAGAGCCTCGGCCGGTAACCTCGCCGCCCCCTCCCCTTCCTTCGTAATACTATACCGCATCGTCTTGTAATAGTTAAGTTAGAAGCGAAAAAATTTAAAACTTTTGGAACACAGTGTGGTCTGACTAATACGTCTCTATATTTAGTAGATCAACAATAAATCTCTTGTAAAATACATATGACCAAACTATTACTATACGGAGGCAGCTCAAATATTTATGACCATTTCTTCTTCTCTGTCACGCTGTTTACACTGAGGCCGCATTTGTGTTGAAGGCCGATACTGTTGTCCTCACGATCTCCCTGTTTGTGGGTTGTCTGGCGCAGTCTGACACTAGGTTTCCTGTTACCGACTTCGCTTGATCAGTTCAGCGCATAGGTGATCTACCTCGTGATCTGGTTCCCTCTACTAAGATCACTCAGGGTGCTAAATGTCAATAATATCAATACAAACAAAGTTTATTAATTATCATTTCGTTAAATCATACACAATAAAGGCCCCTTTTTCAAAATGGAAATATGTAAAAAGACCATTAATTTGTTTTTTTTTTAATTTTTATACCATCATTTATTAGGTTCAATTCACCCAATTGCCATACAACCCACAGTTTAACAGTCATGAGACAAATTATGGAACACTAGCTTCATCATTTGCTGTTACCTACTTAAGTACCTATGTATATATTTGAGTGCGCCGAGTGACCAATTATTTGGTGGTGACTGTACACACGTACACACACACTCGCGCGCACGTAGCGCGATCAATCACCAAATAGAAACACAAAACCTCATCATTGCTAATTCCCGGTTCGACATTGAATTACCAAAGTGTAGTAATCTGTCTGTATCTCTCACGTAGCTAGTATCAAAGGTGCTTGATTTACATAATCACTATTCTAATATGATAATACTTAATTGTATGCATTACATAGGTATATATGATAGATACACTTATCTAATCCACTTACAACTTTCCCAGGACATTGTAATGATAAGCAAGACCTAGTTCCTCATATTTATCTATAATAATTATGGCAAACGGAGTGTAATGCACGAGGGTGCAGCGATGTAGGTGTTGTACCCACTATGCTGCACTAAACTACCAAAGAATTTAAAAAAGGCAAAGTCGACAATATTTAAAGTATTGTTGAAATTACAAATAACAACAATGCGAGCGAACTTTAGTACCTGCCACTTCTAGTAGTCAGTATCAATGTATGTTAACTTTGTGTGTCGGTTAAGATACGAACAAAAAGAAAAGTTTAAAGAAACGGCTCACGGTTACGTACGGTGATAACCATATATTGTAATTTAATTCTATTATTTGTCATGTACCTAAGTGAATTATTGTAATTCTTATAGGAATAATTGTGTCTCAAACCTCAGCAATGTTTCTCTACTTTCTTAATGTTTTAGTAGTCGCAGTAGTCACTGGGTCTTCAACTTCAACAAATATTTAGCAAATTACAAAACTGCAAACATATCAATCTGGATCAATTTGTTTTCAATAAGTTTCAACTACATATTTACTGTAGCCGGCGATACCGCTCGCGGTTCGTAGAAACTTCACAACTATTCACAAGCCAGACGTTATTGAACGAATTTAATTTCAAGATATTTTATGTTCCAATAGGGATGATAACAGGATAAGAAAATTAAATTCTATTTAGTCCGTCAGTTAGGTAATGAACAAATATTAGACACTTATTTTTTTATTTTGTTGTATAAGAAAACAATACTCAGATAAGACGATGCAATACTCAGGAGTGGGAGCTAAAACGTCATTTCTAAGTATGAAACAGCCCAAGAAGTGACATCACGCGATATTTCAAGTAAATACATCGTCGAAAGTATTTGTTTTCAGTAGGAAAATAATTACGTGTCTAATGTTTTAAAATAATCTACCAGACGGACATTAACATAAAAATTTGTCATCAACCCTATTATATTAGTCCATACTTCATACAAACACAACAGGTTTGTTATTCCCCAACTGGGTAAATCAAGGTGCACTACAGTTATGAAAATGAAATGCAAGTAAACATTTCCCATGTTGATTATTATAGAAATTGTGCGCCTCTTGCCGTGGTTATACCAAGTACCTACAATTTAAACTACATAATATATGCATTGTATCATTACTGAGAACTTAAAAATCAAAATAAATAATACCTAATGTCTAATAAATATACAGGTTTCTGTCATCATCTTCGCGGAATCGTTTCCGCAAGGATTCGATAAGCGATGACGTCATGATGACTGTGCAACACATTTTAGATATTGAACACGAAGGCAATAAACAACAGTTTGGTTACTATAGCTAGCGCCTAAGTAATTGAAGTCCAGACGAGATTTATTCAACTTTTATTCTAAAATAAAAATATGTAAGTAAACTCAGGCAATTTACATGGGTAAAGGTCCAAAGGTGATAATGTAAACAATTAAGTACTAACGCGAGCACACAGGTCTCGGAGAAGAAGTCAGCGACTTGCATGCGGTCGTGCCGCATAAACAGCGAGGCGAGCCCCACCTCCGCCTCCCGCCGCTGCAGGTGGCCCACCAGCCCGTCGAATGACCCGTTGTGCGACACCCCATAGAAGTCCACCTGCCGCAGGTCGAACCTAATAACAAAATACTTCTGCAGTCAATCCATACCGCCCTCAACTAAGTACTGTATAGTGTAGTGTAATTCGTCTGTCTGTCGTAGAGGAAAACTTTACAGTAATATGAATTGTTTACCGAAAGTGTAAGTCCTGCGCAAGTAGCATCATGAGCGGATAGGTGAACTTAGGGAAGGTATCGATCTGCCGGTTGCGCAAGTCTGCCCAGCCCTTGAAATTATCAGGTTCTGTCACCTGTAAATCGTATTAGTTAGAGCATGATCGGAAAATTTCGAGCTTGACGTAAGTTTTCGGTCACAGCGACAGACCCTTCGGCCATGTTCGAAATCTTCCCAGAAATTATCGAAAGGTCAATTCTGGGAGCCTTGGGGCACGCTCGAAATCTTTCGGAGAACGCTAGAATGATTTAGATCAAAGTCGGGTCCCTTCAGCCAAGCTCGAAATCTTTTGGCGAATACTCGAACGTTTTCAAACATATCAGAAATCTCTCGAGCATTTCCTGAAAAGGAGAATGGCAGGTTTGTATGGAAGTTTTGTACCGCTATAAAATTTTGTATTAGTCATTGTTTTAACCAAGTGAATAGTCTGAACGATAGATATTTTTATTATGAAGTTTAGAAAAAAATTACATATTTTTAGAACTTGGGGTTCAAAAGTTATTTCACTTTGAAAATGTGCAAAAGGTATGTTAAGGTGGTACCACACTTGACATTGCGTAGTCGCTTCATTTGTCCAAATATTTGTAGACTACGTACAAATGGCGTCCAAATAGTATCTCTATATGTAATGGCGTGCAAATATATAGCAAACAAAGAAGAATAAATCCTCCAAACATGTTCTTTTTTGGCCGAACACAACAAATACGCAACGTCAAGTGTAGAGCCACCGTAAGCAAAATATCTATTACAAATGACAGATGACAGTTAACTGAAAAATGTCAATGTGCTCTCATGTGGTTGTTTATTTACGAAAAACAAAAATCTAAAAATACTGCTCGCTACTCAAGTGACTATTACACTTTGTATTATTAGAAAGAAAGAAAGAAAGAAAAACCATTTATTTTGCTACGACACACAACAAGAATTTAGAAACCCAAAAAATAACCTATGGTGCGTCGCAGCGCAAAAGGCAATTAGGAATGATCCTGTTAATTCAGCAAGCATGATCCACCTATAGAGTTCTAAAGAGTATGCCTCACAATCTTTTTCATTTCTTAGGTGCCTACGAAAATGCAAATTCATAATGTAAGCGACTGTCATTGGGTAGAAGGCCTACATTTAGCAGTGGAAGTCTTGTGGCGGATATGATAAAACTAATCGAATCTTGCAGGTAGATAGTCTCAAGGGTCTCAAGTTAATTCGATTTAAACTTAGCTTAGCTCTTTGAGAAAGTATTTCTTCTGAAAACTGGTTGCTTAGCTCGCATGTAAGGATTAATTTCTAATAAGTAAGTCAAATTAGTAGAATCATCAACATTTTCATCATTAAGTCTATAAGTGGCCACTGCTGACCGAAGCCTCTTCTCGCATGGAGGTTTGAGCATTAATCACCATACTAGCTCAATGTGGGTTGGTAATTCAAACTTATAATAAGAAATTATAAGCCCATGTTGCCTCACAATGTTTTCCTTCACCATTGTTCAGCGGTGTCTTTGTACTTTCTTAGATTATTGAATATACCAATAACTCGGAAAAAAGACACATTGGACAAAAGGTACTTTGCCGTTGGTAGGTTTCGAACCCGCACTCTCATGCATGAGAAGCGGGCTTCTCAAACCTCTGGGCCACCACATTACAACTAAAGAAAATGTAAAATGAAAATGAACATTTTTGGTATAAAACTAAAGCTATCTAAATTAAATATGGCATTTATTTTATAGATTGATTCTTAAAATCACTTTTATCAAGATGGAATATTATATAGTTACTTACTAGGTTAAAATAAAACAAATGTATTATTTTGAAATACTTTTATTTCATTGTATTCAGGTTGTTTCTAGGAGTACTTCATCTAAAAAGAGAACAGGCCGTGTCATAGGTACAGCAGACATCAATTGCTGATATCTGTAAACAAGTAAGATAACTGTAAATAAAGTAAACAAAAGTACATTTTTTCCTTTAGTTTTATATGTTATAATAATATGTCTGATTCCCTATCTTAAAATGGAAAAGATAAAAATAAATATTTGATTATATTACTTGATTTTATAACATTTATTATAGTTATTCGTATAACATAGATCACAGGAGCTCAAACAGCATGCTAATTAATAAATTATAATTATAACATGAGTATAAACCTATTAGAAACCGCTTATATACTCCACATAGATACATAATTATGTAGGTACATTATATTGAGAATGCATACCTGTTGAAGCTTTGAGAGCCGAACAACATCATCCGGCCTCATCTGTTCTACAAATGGCAATGTTAAAGTGAGGCTTAGTCCATGTTTACATAACACATTACTTCCTGATAGTGAACACTGTGAGGTGGTATGTCAGGTTGTGGTTTTATAGTTTCGACTCTTGTACGGTCTCTCAGTCAGTATGGAACATGATCTTCATCATGGGAAGTAAGCTAAAACATGTAATATTATTAGAATATGATATTGACTTTAGATTACACTGTATATAGATAATAGTATGGTTAAATTATGCTTTATTACCTCTTGTGGCTGAATCCAATCAAATACTATATGAGCCAGTCTTTAGTCCTGTTTGTTGGCGCCTTCAATTAAAACCCTGTGTCACCTTATCATTGCAATGAATCACCCATATACGACACAAACATGCCAGTGACCAATTTGTTTGCTGGGCATACTTTCAGCAACATCCCGATACATTGCTAATTGCCAGCAAGCATTGCAAATATGGTCGGTAGGAGAGATCTAGAATAAAAAGAATAAAATGATACATTATGGGTAGATAACACTATGCGCCTTCTTTTATTCAGGCAACATGGTGACTTTCGATATGTTATGGGTAAACTAGGTACTTACATCTCTAGGATAAGTCCACATTGGGATATTGTTGACCACGTCTAATCTTCACTCTCATTTTCTAGAGCATGCCGTCTCATGTGCGACAAACTCTGAATGCAATTAATACACTGTAAATTCATCATCGCGACAAATAACAACACACTATGCACAAAATAATGTAAATAAGTGTCTTTTCGCAATTGTCACAACAATGATGCCAATAACACCAATTTGGGCTACGGAGGAACGGTTGCCAAACTCAACGTATCACCAGATGAATAAAATAACTTCAAATTCAACAAACACATCATAACATCGCATTTGAAACAAACAGCAATGCGCCAGTATTGACAAATTAATTGTCAATGTCATCAAGACAAATGCCAGTTCAACATTGCCATATTCAAGTTTGTTAAAATGTTAATTACCGACTTCATTATCATTAATAATCCATGTAGACGTAGATTTAGATTGGATGTAGATTTTTATATTTACTTATAAAAATGTTTGAAATGGAAAAGAAAATATTTCATTGATAGATATTAAAATAAATGAGTTTATGAAATAGCGTAATTCAATATGCTCTGATTGCATCTTTACGCATGGCAACTTTGTAAACGGCAATCGCGGTTCGTTTTACGTATAGTGGATTGCTTTTTATCATTATTGAATATCAGTTTTTCTAGGGTTTCCCAAGTTTTAAAAATCTATTAAATATGCTAACATAACGAAATTAGGAGGTTCTATAATGACCCAATTTTTTAATGACAAATCTTTTTTTAGCGAAGCGGTACAAAATCTGCCGTTCTCCTTTCGAGGGTGTTCCTTCGGTTTGGTTTTGACTGTACAAAATTGCTTTTTTGATTCCTCCACCAAAATCAGTGTAAATATTAAAATTACAATAATTAGGTCTATTGGAATAGAAAGCGGCCTACACTTTTTGTCTCAAATCTCAGTAACCGTTTCTATCGTATCACATAGATGAAACATTCCGTTTGACTTTGATTGACTCCATTTTTCCAGAGCCGCGAGTGCGTTTACAAACATACAATTTCACAAACACGAGATACCCATGCAGACCCGAAACAACAATTTGTGGATAACACAAAAAGTTGCCTTCCTTCCTTTTTTCCATTCCTTGCGGGAATCAAACGTTACGTGGTAGCCGGTTGCCCAGCCGCTACGCCAACTATGCAATATATAATAGATTGTCTATAACATTTTACGTCACATTATAACAAAAAAAAAATACGCGGCATAGTGAATCGATATTATACGCGGGCATTCAGATAACTAGCGACATCTGAATCATATATGTATGTTACAAAAAATATTAAACGCTTGTCCCCTACATGCCCCAGTGTCAACTGGAAATTGCTAAGTAAAACATACTGCCGATAGTATGGTACCTACTAGATACAAATACGTCATCATATTATGCTTCTTGCTCGAGGCTGTGGAGTAGGAACGGGGTGGTTTTTAGTCAGAAAGTCTGACGCTCTCTCTTGGCTCACCAAGGGTGAGAGAAGTTATAGGATAAGATGAATTTATGATCTGATATAAAGATCGCCTACATTAAGTGACCAATCGCCAGCATAATTATAGGTTTAGAGTTAACTTACTACAGAAATGCCCTTGAGCGAGACATTCCTGAGATCTCTCCTGCGAGTCACAGCAGTGGGCAGTGCGCCCCATAGCGATAACAGCTCTTGGTGGGAACTGTTCCTGCTGAGCCCCAGCTGGACCTGCAGCAGCGGTTGATTCGGCTTCGTCTTATAAACATCCACCAGACTGTTCGGGGAGGACCATACTACGTCTGCGTCGGGTAGAATCTCGTACGCATACAAAGTCTCCTCCACGAGCGCTGGCTCGGCTGATGAGTTGTGGAGTAGTAGCCATGAGTGACGCTTGTTCAGCACACGAGACCTGGAGGCCTGAAGGACATTCTCTGAACTCTTTTCATAGAATTAGGCCAACAATTAAGAGCTTTTAAGTTTTTTTTTAACTGCATATTACTCTAACCGGGCAAGGGCAAGGGGTCTCGGGTTCAATTCTCGGGTTGGGCAAAGTATTACTGGGTTTTTTAAAAATCTCAGTTGTAGCACGGAGTCTGGAAATGTGCTCGATATTATGCAAATAGGCTCACCCCCTATTACATAGGACTCATAACATAAATAGTGAAAATTGGGTGTTACATTGTACAGTGGCATTAAGTGCTGTAATGTGCACCTCTGCCTAACCTTCGGGGATAAAAGGCGTGATGTTATGTATGTATTACTCTAACTAATTTTATTACAATGTCCTAGCTCCGTTTATACTTCAATGTTTAGCATAAACTAAATAATACCTTTTCAAGAACAAAATGAGTATCGGGACAGTTGAGGTCCAGCAGCATGGCCTCCCTGAAATAGCCAGACGTCGTCATGGGAGCGGAGTGCCTCAGCTCGGAGACCACGGTGAGTCTCACACCCGCCACACGTGCGCTGCGCTGCAGCTCTAGTGCTTGCTCTAAATATACGAACGACTTGTTACCAAAGCCATTTACCGTTTACGTATTCTTTGTTGTAATCTAGCTACATATATATTTTATTAATGTGGCGTGAGGTCCCGTTTGTTCAATACAGAATTTCCTAGCGCCAATCATAAATTGACAGCTTAAGAAACTCTGATAAACCCGTAGGTACCTACGATGCTAGGTGGTAAGTAGCAAACATCAATAAACTACATAGAAGTTACCAGAGGGCCAGCAGATGAAAGCAGTCATCATAGACAGGTCCTTGGTGATGAAGTAGCTCAGTATGAAACTTATTAGTTCCATGTTGTACGACTGACGCGACGTCACTAGCTCCGTGGAACACTGTACATAAAGCAGACTCAAGTCAGTACTTACTGAGCAGATTTAAGGCGTAGTATCTGGGTATACCTACAGTTGTAACCACAGAAATATTAAAATCTTCTTTATTATATCTGTGGTTGTAACTCTTATTTTGATATTCAATAATGGATACTTATAATAATTAAACGATGCAAATCATACAGCCGCATACAACTCTCTCTTAGCTACGATAACTAAAAAACTTATATTTTGTAGTCGATTAAAATTAATATGTCAAAACAAATTTCCCTAAATGTAACAAATACTTTTCTGAAAACCGCATCAAAGTCTGGTTAGCTAATAGCGAGATAGTCGCGGACAAACATACATACATTTGATACAGGTTATATTGAGAACGTCTCTTTTCGAAATCTACAACAAGACGGTTTAGAAAAAAGGTGTGGTGGGCAAATAATTTCTGTATTAAAGGTGAACAATGTCGTAAACAATAGTTAGGTACTATTAGTAGAACAACATTAAGATTAAAATGTATCGTCGTAAAGCATCATCATAAATATTATCTGTCCATAATACATTTACCTGATATACCTAATGTACCTAATAAATATTATAATTATTATAAATACAGAAAAAGATTAGATTGTTTGTGTGTTTGCGTTGACCAAGCTCCGAACTACTAGACTGGTTTGATAAATTCTTTCACTACTGGAAAGTTTACTTTTGAAGAAGTACAAGCCAATATTGACTCGTCATTAACCCAGCAGGATCGTGCCCTAATCGAGAGACACCTTGTTGTTTTCGTGGATAGGTAATGCCTACTTTGCCCCTTTACCTTAACCTCTTTCCCCACCATAATTATTATGTACAGAATAACCTAATTAACATCCAGAAGATACAATGATACTATAACTCAAATTCCTAATCCCAAAAGGCCGGTAACGCACTTGTACCGCCTCTGGTGTCCAGGTGTTCATGGGCGACGCCGATTGCTTACCATCAGGTGATCCGTCTGCTCGTTTACCGCTTTATCCCATAAAAAAATAACTATATTCCTAAACAGATGAACTTGCCCTTAATGTTGATACTTGATTGAGCAGCCAATCATTTTATACGGGTGTTTGTGCAGCAATCTTTGTGCACTATTACGGGGCATTAGATAATGCGCCCTAATGAGTAAAAACTGCTCATCAAACGTATTAACTATTACAAAGCAGTTTATAAGTAGCTTTTGTAAACACATAATGACGTACTAACAGTTTTAACTAGAGACTTGTGAATGAATAATGTACTTACACGAAGAGACACGACTGTTTAGTAAATCAGAATATAACTATTCTTTATTCTTCGAGAAGTTCTGAAAACATCATGTTCCCGTGTGAAATTCTAGAGTTTGTACTCACAAACACACACACACAACACTCATTGATTTCGTCGAGTTTGAAGTACCCAGATTTCGCCGATATAATGTTGTTTGTTAGTAAACTTCTGCACGTCTACGAACGATAGTTCTCGTAGCTGTGAAAACTACGAACTATCTGGTGCAGTAATGGACAATTACATAAAAATAATGTAGTTACCTATATAGCTAAAAGAATAACAACAAAAAGAACTATTACGTCATTGAAATTTTAAAAACTTTCAGAAGTTTGTTCCTGCACTGCACATTGGAGGAAATGAATATTATTCGTCGTATATGACAATGATCAACAAACCTCTTCAGATGATAGGCACCCCTACTTGTCCGGACATTTTTAACATACATACTGATCCTTTAGTTTCTGTCCTATGTGAATATGTGCATACGAATAACACTCAATCACTTGATCAGTGTCATTTCCGATGACAAAAACCGCACTTGTTTGTCATTGTATTGTGTGACTGTAAACACTGCATCGCTTAATAATTATTCGTTATCATTATTTCAAGAAAGCTTTTGACATCGACGAGTTTCCCTAAGACCCCTTTTTAGAGATTTTTGTCGATGGAATTGACCGTATAGGCAACTCGTGGGTACAGTTTACAAAACCACATTCCAATTAGACATACTTAATTCGGACGCCACGCGTGCGAATGTCACTCCTTCAACTTAAAAATATTTTGAGTCGTATGGACATTATATTGTTTTTAATGTATTGTTATCTAGGAATTACAGAGAAACCTGTTAGTCTCCGTTCTGTAAATAGGTATTGGTAATACATAATGTGTTGTTTGCTCGAGAGCGACCTCTACCTAATATGTATCATGTGTAATTTAATATGTATTTAGGACAAATGAAACAACAAAATAACGTCAACATAAATAGTCTATATTAAATATTATTCTTATAAACTAATGTTAAGTAGTCTGCCACGTCCGTGTTGTGGTATCCAGTGCGACTGCTCCGCACGAGATCATTTAGGAACGATACCAAAATACTTATTTGGATTGTTTAATTTCTGGATCCTCAGCAGTGGCACGTAGTCTGGAACTGCGCGCCCAATGCATTGGACTAATAACAATACTAATGAAGAGTGTTTGTACCCAGTACAAGTACACTTGTGCCTACTCCTCGGTGTGCGTGTGATGCGTCGCTATAGATGTGTGAGCGAGGAGATGGCAGGGCAGGCGTCTGGTTGCACGAAGAGTCCGGTGTAGTTGACGATGAAGTACGTGCTGGCCGAGCCGAGCACGGAGCCGAGCTGCCCGAGCGCGCCGCACAGGCGCATCCCCCGCGCGCCCCCGCCCCGCGCCCACCCGTACACCCACATCCGCGCGTACGAGATCACACCCGACGACAACACCCACGACACCACCTGCAGACAAGATACTCACGTGACTACTCATATTCTCCACGCGCACAATTTGTTTATAATAAATACATGTTGCAGTCAAAACTCTGCACGTAAAAAAGTTGAACTAGGAAGAATTCAGGGGCACCAAGAGGGCCGTGGTTAGGATAATTTAAAGTTAAAGTTTGAACTCGGCTGACAGAAATAGGAATCCGCACGACATCACTCCGTCGACTTTATACTTTAGTATTAGTTTGATACTCGTGCGGAACGATTAAAATTAACACTTGACTGGTTTAACTAGTTGTAAGAACTTTAGACTGGTTAGTAGTTTTGACAGCAACATTATACACCGCGCTCGCGTGTCACACTGATTTGTGACAATTAAGATATTTTTTATGTAATTTGTTGATAACCCATGCAACGTAAGAGATAAACCACTATCATTTAAAACAAAATCTTGAATAAAAATATTTAGTGAAATCACCAGATGTATGAAACATGCTAACTTCGCGTTATTTTTGATTATTTTACTTTATGTATTCGGTGTTCACGATTATAATAACAAATGGTATGAAACACTCACGATGAGAACTTCTCCGCCCGCGCTATACTGCAGCGGCGGCGCAGGACTTAGCAGCGCCGTGGCCAGAAGATACGCGAAGGGAACGCAGGCGGACACCAACATGGCGGCCAGCGCGCGCGCCGACACCGGCCGCAGCCACACGCCCGCCAGGCACGCCGCCGGGTTGGCCATCGCGCTCAGCGTCACCGCCAGGTGGTACGCGCGCGTGCCGTACGGCATGCACGAGTAAGACTGCACCGACGGCATCACGCCGTTGTTCAGTGCGTTCAGCACCGCCATCAGCGCCATTACGCCCATCCAGCGCGGTACCAGCAGCGAAGGCCGTTCCGACGTCGCCTCGTCATCCTTGGCCGCCGCCGCCGGTGCTACTCGCTCTGACTGGAAGCCCTTGTAGTTGTTGATCACAGTGAAGCTGGCCAGACTGGCAGCCGACAGCCCGCCAAGCAGCACTAGGAACACAGTGGTGTCGAATCGTGCAGGTGGATAGTGAGGCTCCAGCTTCGTGTTATCCTCGTTGGGCAAGCACTCGGGTGCACCGCCCACGCCCTGCACCAGCGCCAGGAGGCTCGGCACGAACCCGCTCAGACCCTCACCCACTAAGTACGTCGCTAGGTACACATCACGGAAATGTCTTAAGTACGGGTAGAACAACACGGAGCTGGTGCAGCCCACCAATGCTGCGAAGAAAGTCAACGCCAAATAAGCAATCGACCGTTCTTCGGAGCCTATCACAGCTGTGTGCTCGTAGAGGAAGGCGTTCAGTACGAGCGCCAGCGTGCCGATGACGAGCAGTCCCGAGATGTAATATGCGTCGGACACGCGCGGCAGCAGACGTCGCAACACCGCGTATATCAACAGCCCGCTGTTGGCGAGCTGCACGGCCATCACCATGGAGGATGGCAGCGCCCAGCCCTCGGGCAGGCGGTCCACCAGCAGCGGCAGTTGCACGTACAGGCCGTTGACCCCGAGCCACGTGCCGAGCCCCCAGCACGCCATGAGCACGTCGAGCGCCACCCGGCGCTGCGCCCCCCACATGTTGACAGGCGCTCGTTCCTCTCGTTCCAAACACGGCGAACTCTCTTTCTCCTCGTTCAACCTGCAGCACAACGCGCACTCGGTGACTAACTACTAACACGTCTCAATCGCTTGTGACGCTTTGTATTTATGTCTACTGGTAGATAAGTACAATCAGCTAATAATTTAGCATGATTGCACGATTCTCGTTACTTTAATGTTCACTACAAATAAAACGAACCCATTTTTATGTTTGTTAAGAATTTAATCTTTAGAATCTAAAGAGAATATGCTCGAACAACATTGTAAGTCTGGACGACTGGGATCCTATTTCAATGCAGCTGTTGTCTAAAATATAAGTATCACAAGCTGGAGTACAGATATGCAGCAGAATATAATCAACAATCACTACATTTTCCTACGTAGGTAACAAGTGATAGATACATACCGTGGAGTGGAGGAAGAACCGAGTGTTAGTACTAGAGTTGTTGACTGGTTGAAATCCGATAAAGTATCGAAATATTGAGACAGCAATAATTTTATTGATAACGATTGATTGGACGCAACAGCAGATTGTGCTACAAGTGGTGTTTGTATCGGTCAGGGAGACAGACGTGTCGCTGACGGAGAGCAGTGCGCGACTGGACACTCAATGGACAGCACGGGGCGGAGCCGCGGGGGCGACCGCGGCGTACGCATATATTGCTGCACTCCAATGTATTCAGTAAGTTATTTGCGGAGTTCAGTAAGAGACCAGTGTACATACTGTCTGCTTGTGTGTAATGATAATGCGTGCGAGCGCGACGTACACAACAAATCATTAAGGTCACGGTCACGACTACGAACAAACTAAACACTTAGTACGTTTTCACTTATCGGGAACAAAACTATATCAGTTTAGTTTCTTGTTGGCCGAGTTAGCGCCTAGGAGCTAGTCTACTAGGTAAACTAAGTTCGAGTGCTCACTGGTCCTCCTTCGTTAACTGTCATTAAGTAGAAATAATCTAGTGATAACAATGTGCAATGTATAATCACTGATAGAGGATTAGGGGCATTTAACTTAAATGTTTTGTAATGAAGTCGAACGTGAAAAAATGTGTTGGATAGTTGGTGTGATGGCCGCAGTGTACATCAATATGTAAGTACTGACTGGACCCACTCACTGCCGCAGCCACTGATTCGCTTCACTTTTGATTATACCGCATTATTCATTAATTCATATTAAAATTACATTAAAATATTATGGATCCGTTCCACGTGAAATCTGAACCCAACCGCGACGATGCATTTGCACAGCAGCTGCGATTAGATTAACTAAATTATTTATACAATTTAACACATCAACTGCTTCTTGTAGTGGCATAATATTTCATTTAAAATATATAAACACAGTATTTGCATTTACTTAAAATAATGAATAATTTCAAGGTTTATAATAATTTTACAAAGCACCTGTTTCACTACATCCGAATTATTTAACTACAGAAATAATTATATTACCAATTGTAAATGCAAAATACTTAAATTACTTATTTAAGGAGGTCTGTGAAGCTAAACTTTTTAATCGCAACCAGTTTCTAACAAAATAAAACGGTGAAACACTAATGGATATAAGACTTAACGTAACAATGAATTTAGTTATTTATTTAATTACCGAGATAATGAAACAATGCTTAATTAAAACATACCCGTCCTCCATTTCAATGAAAATGATATTAGTGGTTTGTTAGTAACACCGAGGTGCAGTGCGGAGGCTGGGCACCGCGGGCACAGTGGGCACGTCTCGGCAGCGCGGCAGGCGGCGGCAGCACGGCCGCGCGGCACTGGACCACCACCCTACCACCCACACACACAGTGACCCACTAGGAACACTTACATCTCCACCACGATCCTCCACAGACTTGTTCTGATCAATTACTATTTAATTGACAATTAATTGGACAAGAAAATGCTCTAGTGCTCAGTAGTGCCGTGGTGACTTGACGCGCACTACAGACAAACCAATGACGAACACGTCATATAGAGTTTTAATTAATTCTGACACAACCATCTACAGTAACAACGCTTCGGAGAATGAAGAGCGAATAGCATGTGGTATTTGGTCCAACATGTCACATGTGTCGCGTCTACATGAGTAAATACGACAAGATCGGTGTCAGGAGCCGGGAAGCTGCTGGTGGAGATTACTGCAGAGTATTTGTTCAGAGTGCTCTACTTGTTGATACACAGTGTACACAGGTATTAGCGGGCGGCGAGTAGCTACCTACCGGCGGCGGCGCAGGGCCGCGGCGGAGCGGGCGCGGCGGCGGAGCGCGGCGCGCGAGCATTGTGCCCGCCTCACCACAGCCGCGCGCCCCTAGCTGCCACAAGTGCCATGGAATGGGTCAAGCAGAACATAAACCAAGTCAACTGTCGTCAGATATGTCTCTGGGCTTCTCAATGTCTCAATTATTATAATTTACTGCAAGTGTCGGTCAAGGACAGTTGCACAGGTACAGGATATCTGATGACAGTTGTGCTATGCATGGCACTCACCTTCAAACAGCTGCCAGTTTATTCACTACGCTGTCTGACTGTGGCGCCACTGCTACAAAATATATCTCATAATATTTTACAAGTGGTATTTGTATTTCAAGATAAATACAGTATATCCCTTGTCTTATCAAATTCTCGTAGAGATTTAGTCAAGGCAAAGCATATAAACAGCCAGACAGATAGGCCTGTGTTCTTATTTCATTTAATGTAGTTAATAATGTTGCAACTCTCAAGTTGTTCATGGCTGAGTAAAAGATAAGTCGCAAGATATTTAATTTTGTTTCGTAACGGATGAGATTTATTTTGTAGCCTTCATGGATAAAAAGCAAACCAACATAATGACATAATGCTCAGCTCAGACACAATAATTAGTATTGAATATATATATATAGTGACACATTCCAGTGATGTGAGTAGCACACAAGTTATTGTACAGGATGTTATTGCTCTCGATGGTTAATTATTTTGAGGTAAAACAAGATAAACCACAAATGGAAACCCCCGGCAACTTTTTGTTATAATACTTAATATTTATTATCTAATCAAGGAGACTTGTTAATGGTTATAGTAAAATAATTAATTTTGTGGTACTACTAGTATTCGTAATTGTTATTGAAATAACAAAAATTATGGGACATATGTTAAACGAATAGAATTGTGAGTCTCTTTGCTATTTTTAAATTAAAGTCAATTGCCACACAATCAAATAATACAACAGAATGGTTATTAGTTTGAAAGCCCACCAATGTACCTGTTTAGTGGAATTAATTGAAAGCAACCCATAAAACTAAGTGAGTGGTTAGTTAAAGTAGAGAATGAAGGAGCTACATACTGTGCAAAGGAAGCTGGCATTATCCCCTCATGTTATACAGAAGATATACACTTGTCACCTGGAAACCACAAAACTTGAACTCCAAAACCAAACCAATGACAACTCTAATGTCTACTAGCTAACTGTAAGTGTGGTGTCTTGTCTACTAGGTATGAAACATGTAGACAGATGTGGTAACTATTTCTACTTGCCACAGAATTTAGGTATTTAGAGAATATTAATTGTTACATGTATATTTTTTTTCTTGTTCAAACTTTTTTATGTAACATGTTTCATAATTATTATGCCCAACCATAATAATAAATAATAAACATAAATTTACTACATTACATTCCTAACATTCCAGAATATTAACCCCTTGAAAATTGTTGAAAATCATCCCCTAAATTTAAAGAATACAGAATTTTCAATGGGTTAATTATATTTTTATAATAACATTATATTTTTTTAAAAATCTAATATTTTTATGCAAATAAAAAGGAATTGTTCTAAGGCAAATAGTCACATTCAACAATAAATAGGGAAATGTAACTCTAGTAACTCAAGTATCAAGTAGATTCAATGAAAACGGAATACAAGTATGTACATATAACATTAGAGAAATTGAATAAAAATATTGTGTAACATAGGACATACAACTAATAAAAATAAGAAAGCTCACATAATATACTTCACAGAAACAACACCAATGTCTAAGAGATGAGGTGCTACTGTCTGTCAGTAATCGCTACACTGTACAGTATCCACTGACACACTCACTGCTCATCTCTACCTCCAGCACGACTGTATTCAATATAAATGTTTACAAACCTTGTGCTGCTTGCCATGCCGCAGTTATTTTAGTATTTAGTGTACGATCTGTACCACAACTCAGTCCACACTTATTTCCAATGTTTCAATATTACGTGTTTCCTTACATCATTCGCTTTCACATGCTCTTGGCCTTACAGCTTACTAACTTGATATTGTGAACAAGAAACTGTTTTTTAAAAACTTCAACTTAAGATAAAACACTTACAAAAAATAAAATAACAAAAAAATATACAGTTATAAAAAAATTAAGTTAGATTTCACAAAAATATATACCTATTTTACATTTAAAAATTATTTACATTGCGGGTTGAGCAAACACATATTGGAATTAAAGTGGACTTTGACTTTGAGTTATAATGACATTGACACTGACAAATGTCAGTATCAGGTGGTAGTGACCATAGACTGAGTGACCATAAACTAGGCATATAACTCTACTAAGTAAAGATCAGATACCTACTAAAATGGTCTGAGTGCTATTTGATTTTACCCTCAGGATCTTTCACTTCATTACAAAAATTAGTGGAAATCTATTAAAGGTGTAACTTTTGGTGACCTGTGTTTCAGTGATAATAACTGTGGATATTAAAATACCTAGTCTAGCCTAGCCCCTCTAACCCAACCCCAACGATAACTCCAAACCCAAATCTACAATCATGTAAGGTAATTTTAATTTTGATAATAATTCATTTAATTTGTCTACATTTTTCTTGCTAATATGTAAACTTAGAGTAACGTCCACCTCGACTACCAACCCACATTGTATCCACACATCTTAAATACTCACATCTTTTATAAATGTGTCTTTTTGTAAATATATTGTAAACTACCTTCTGCCAGCGGTTTCGGCCGCGTTCTCGTGAGATAATAAGTGACCAGTATGTTATTATTTTAGACCATAATCTCCCCTGTTCCATCTAGATCTCTTCAGCCGTTTTAATACGAAGGAATAACAAACAAACAAACAAACTTTCGCATTTATAATATTAGTAAGATAGTAAGATACCTATTTATAAATTAAAAATTAAAAATTGCATGCTTTATTTAGCAAAACATGATGATCTATTGTAACTATAACACATTTGTCACATTTATCGCTTATGTAGACAAAGAATATGTAAACAAAGACAGTTGAATATTAAAAAAAAATATAAGTATGGTTGAGTTGATGATCGTTGCTGCCGTGTCGTGTGAGTCCCGATCCGATGACGTCTCAGTTGTATTATTTCTCGTTTAAAGTTCTGAGGCCTTAGTACGAGTTTATTTTTCGTTTAAAGTATTCGAAACGAGTACGCGTTCGGCACTGTGATTGGCTGGCGCCAATGAAGCAACCAATCAAAGCGCCGAACGCGTACTCGTTTCGAATACTTTAACCTTTTGAGCGCCAGGGTCACAAATACGTGACAAGCGAAAACTGTCCCTGAGCGCCATCGACACAAATATGTGACAAAAACAGCGGTACATTAAAACACGAAATAAACTATTTAAACATTACTTTAATGCCTATTTATTTATATACCTGTAAAATAGAAGGTCCAAAATTTATTTATTTCCATAAAACTAATTAAATTGCATTATAAATATTGAGAAATTTTACGTTAAAAAGAAAGAAATAAACTCTGAAAAAAGAATGTCCTCACACGCCAGAGTCATAACTGCGTGACCGCTAGTGATGTAGCGCATGTTGGATAATATAATTCTTTCAAATCAAAGATCGATTCGAAACTTTCCTCTGGAATATATTATTTTAGGTATAATTTGGTACTAGGATAAAGCAGCATTAATTTTATAAAACCAGTCTTAAAAATCATTCAATAAGCTACATAGTCAAAAATAAAATTTGGTTGGGTCGAATTTCGATATTCACTAATCCCAACTCAAGCGCATCCCTAACGCAACCCGAATTATCAGTACCCTGTACGCCATGGTCACGACTAGACGACAATATCGTGACGTCACAAGCGCGGCGACCAGAAATTAGTGAAGTGAATGAATAATATTTATGATTAATTTACTTGTGATATCGAGTTCAAGATTTATATTAAGTGACTATTATAATGAGTGGGAATTTAATGACTACGGAAGAACTTCTTCGCATATTAGAAGGAGTCTCAGATGACGAAGAATTTTCGGAAACAGAATCTTTGGACGAATTTGATTTAGAGGTAAGTTATTTTTATCTGCTTTTATTTTAAAAATTTTGAGTAAATATTAATCTTATTAAAAATCACGATGAAGTCTGCCAAAAGTTCCTTTTTTAGCCACGGTGCGCGCTGAGATCGATTTCACTGTCCCCACCACCCACTTTGCACCCAGCGAATTAGATGATCAGAATGCAGGTTGCATTGTAGATTTTGTATAATTTTGTTCTATTATTCAAAAGATTTATTAGTATAAGACTGATTGGTAATTGTGATAATTATATATAATCGTTAATTGTTTTAATTTGTTACTTTTTATGCCAGGTTTATAGAACTTAATATTTAAAAACATGTATACATAGTACATACTGTATAACATTTTATTAAAATTTTCTATTTTTTCATAGTTTTTATTTACCTTCTTAACCTATTTCAATCATATATTTTTAAGTACCTGTTACATTCGGAATTATAAATCTGATTTAAAAAACGTGTTTCATTTATTATAAAATAATATTGTACTAGAACATCGATAAACGAGATATTACGTTGCCACATCCTTATTTCGGAAGCGAAGTAGTTATTAAAATGGCGGGCCGTCCACGCCATAGTCACAATATGAAGACAGCAGATCAAGAATAGTGTTGTACCTACAGTTATTATATTTAAATATATTGTAGTCTCATATCTGTTATTACGGTATTATACAAGTCTGTAAATAGTGTATAACTATTACTTTAATAGGAAGAAATGTAATGTTGAATTAAATTTCAATGTTATAAGGACATTATATTTCGAAATTAAAGACGAAAATGAAAATAAAATTGATTATCGATGAAGTTTTGGAATCCCTATTTTTTTCGTAGGTATTTGCGGTGAATTTGTGGCCTGGCGTTGAGGGCAAGTTCATGCGTTTTTGCTCTGGCGTTCAAAAGGTTAAACGTAAATGAAACTCGTACTAAGGCCTCTGATGGACTTGAGTGAAATGTTACAACGAAAGAATATTTGTGAATTGAAGTTATATAATAATGAAATGACTGCGATGAAGAACACCACCAAATTTCGCAGCGTTTACTACTCGGTCAGAATCGCAACTATCGACCGATTACACGCAAGAGATCTCAGGTTCATTATTAGCTTTTCGATTTCTTATAATTCTCAGGAATGGCATTCGGACTGGAGTAGACCTGTGTGTGGCAATAGCTCATAACTGGCCAAAAGTACCTAGGTAGGTATTTCATAATTATTATATGTTCGTCTTGACCTACCCTTTTCCAAATTGAATGGGGTTGCTATGTTATGTGAAGGATAACATAAATGGTAACAGAAATATAACACATACATATAAATAAAAACAACACTCGGTTCGACAGTTATTTTAATTTAAAATTTCAAAAAGCAAATACAATAATCTCCGCATAACTCGTCTCATAAAGCTTTACACGTAAAGTAGTTATCTTTAATAGTACATAATAATAAATATAACAAACAGTGAAGTACTGAGCGTGCTGCGTCTCGCTCCCGCCTACTTGTCCTTCTCGCTCTCCGACTTCCTGCCCAGCGGCACCGCCGCCCGCACCCTGACACAAAAACATACATATATGTAAATCTATTTATTGTTTATGTAGTTAAAGCTTAAGTTTCGTTAATATTTGTATGACTCATTTTTACTTTGTTACACAGTCATACCTACAGAAACGATACTCAATTTTAAACTATACTTAAATATCACACACATGGTTTATTGTATTTTTTATATTATTTATGTATTTTTATTTTGTCTTTTTTATTGTACACTTAACTACCCCATATCTGGTTTCTTATAAATATTTCCATTCAAAGGTTGTCTGGAAATCACAATTGTGTAATAAGATCGCCCATTGTACGCATATTTACTTGAATTGTTTGTTTTTTTGAGTTACTTAAATGTGTACAATAAAGCGTATAAAATAAATAAAATAAATAAATATCGTGCTATCTCTGTCATTTTACAAAGAAGTTGTAGCGACAGAACTATACTTAAACGCGACTTAAAAATTGAGTAGCAGTTAATATTCGGGCATAAGTGTATTAGTTTTTATTGTCTTCTTGTCAAGACTGCCGGTAGAGATTCCTACGAGAATATGCAGTACCTAGTAACCTCCAATCTATACATATATGTGTTCTCTTTTGTACTGTCTGTGTGTAGTGTATAAATGATACATACACACTGCACCTTACCGCAACTTTAATGCTGATGAGTAAGTTTCCACTCAGTAACGAGTGATTACACCTACATAATCATCCTGCTGCACTGTATGACTGATCATTGCAAAATTACACAGTACTTAGTCAAGTGCTGTTTATGCGGCGCTTGTAATAGACAACTTAATTTAGTACTTTGATAAACCAGCTTGTTTTCTTTGCAAACTATGTTTTAAATACCAGCAGTATTATAAATTCAAAACATGTAAGTACATACTAGCAAAAACATTTACAAGGGTAATTACAAAATTACAAAATTAGCAAAGAATTGTAATTGTTTGTGTGATCAAAGATACAAGAAATAAAGTACCTAACCAAAACTTAGTAACTAGATATGAAATGTCGAATACTCACTTGGCGGAGATCTCGTTGATCTTTCCACGTACGAGTTCGAGATTGGCGTCCACCTGCGCCTTGTTCATCTCATACGCCTTCGGCAGAGTGAACAGTGCTATCCACCCTGGAAACATTACAAGCATCTGTCAAAGTATGTCGTTCATACATCGATAGCAAGGAATAGTTTATATCTAGACATGGCGCATCACTGTAGATCTCGGCTCACAAGCCTCCTTACACACTTGCGAACAAAACCCTACCTTGGGCTGTGGGCTTGTAAAAAAATATGTGCCTCTCGGATTGTCACTAAAAAGTAAAAACCTTCCATCTTCATCTTACCCCGAATTCTAAGGGGACAAAGGACCATTTTTTTAAGGGGGGAAAATCATCGATTGACTTCTCCCACCTGAGTGAAGCGGGAGGAAGTGTCAGAGTGTTACTGACTAAAATGAAAAACCACCCCGTTCTGTGGTGTGTCCTTCGCGATGGCTGGGTTGCGAGGAGGCAGCGCTTCGCTGCCTCACGCGTCCCGCCTCGCACAAAGGACCATAGAGAGATTTTCTCACAATGGTAGAAAAGAGTTAGAAATAGAAACTTTAGTCACCTAAAAATGGATAGACGATATTGATATTGTCAGAATAGCTGGAAGCAGTTGGAGTTGAAGGATGCACAAACAAACCCGAGTATGGCAAAAACAAGAGTAGGCCTAATCCCAGCAGTAGATGTAGCCGAGCTCATTACAACTCGGATGATGATGACCTCACCGTGTATGCAATGCAGCTCCATGTATTAGAACAAACTTCGTCACGAAATTCTCTACAAAGTCATGTCACTTGGTCATTTGCGATTGTTTATGGACGATAGATAGTGGTCATCTACATAATTATACTTCCTTGTAAACATACTATATATATAGTACCAAACTACACCATATATAACTAAGTAGCGTTGGTGCATAATAGCTGGGCTTACAAAATTAAAAAGCAATGAGAAACCAACAAGAGCAAAATATATTATATCGTGAAAATGTAATGAACGGTGTGTCTAGTGAAGTGTGACTTCACGTGCAATGACTTTCGATACCTCCAGTCAACCTGCACCGATCAATCGTTTACCAGGAGAGTGGAGTCGAGTTGATCCGATTTATAAAGGTTGAATTTGGATCTTTAATATTAAATTCTAGTTAGCAAAAATGTCTAAACAAGTGCCGATATTGACATCGAGGCTTGGTATGGCTAACCACTGGACATGGTGACACGCCCTTAGTAACCTCTGTCACGCAAGTACTAAGTCTGGAGCTTTATGGCAACACGTGACAGCTAGGTATTTACTTTCCACGAGTAGATCGTTATTTGGTGTACAACAAAATGTCACTAGAATGTAGTTACAGTTTTCGCGTTACAGATGTCGATCCTACCGACCCACTTGGATGAAGGCCAGGGAACTAGGAATGGCACAAAGAACTGAGAACTGTGCCGCGGCCTTAATACTAGTGGGGAATTTTGTAGTACTGAACTACTGACCATCAGAATCAGGCAAACTACGACATGTATTAGATAACTAACGACGGGGTAAATAGAAACTCAGGAAGTTTAGGAACATTTTTGTCTAAATAGCTTATAATATACCTAGACCTAATCCGACCAATTCCAACACAAATCTGTCCAATTCCAATAAAAATGAAGTTTGTCTCTAACAAACAAAATGCATAAATTAATATCTTACGGAGACTTTAATTTAATTTAAAATACACGTATTTTTTCCTTTTCTTGACTATACCTACATTGATTTTAAAATATCATTAGATCATTTATAGTTACGTTTTATACCTGGCGATGATGTAACGAGCTCCCACTGCTGAATTTTAATTAGTTTTAGGTATAATACCTATAATACTGACCGAGTATGATGAGCGTGATTCCATTGAAGCAGGCCCCTACGTAGGTCAGGCACCACAGCAGGACGCCGAACTTGAGCGAGTCCACCAAGTCCTCAACCAGGAACAACCTGAAGCCAACATCACAGACAATGTTACACACTTTACTACTGATACATTAGCACACCTGCACGATGCATGGTCTATTCATACTGATATGGTATTCAAAAAAACAAGAAAATGTCTTGTCAAAGTTGAAGATATTTTAGGGTATGGTTTTAAGGCATTGGTTCCTAAAGAGAATACAGAGCAAAATAATGGATCTTCCAAGTAGTTTTTTTTATTTGTTACGGTGACGTTTGACCACTATCTCACCTGGTGGTAAGCGATGATGCGGTCTACGACGGAGCACGTCGTCCCATAAGCAACTAATTAATTTCGTTAGTTAGGTAATGATACAAAGGTATGTAAGGTGTAGGTGTACCTGCGCAGCTCTGCGAGCGCGGCGTTGAGGTGCGCGGTGGCGGCGGCCGCCAGCGACTGCGCGCGCTCCGCCGGCACGCTGATGTCGCGCTCCAACAGCCATCTGCAACACGCGCACTCAGCGGTACTCCCCACGGCCAACACAGTACACGTACACTCGTGTCAAGACAGTACTAACTTGAATGGATGACCATCGTTAGTCTTCTGCACAGCCTGTAGCACGTTCTTATAGATGCGGAAGGCGACGGCTGCGGAGAGCGCCAGCAGCGAGGCGTAGGCGAGCACCGACACCACGGAGCAGCACGCCAGCGCCACCAGCAGCGCCAGCCCCGCGCCCAGCGCCAGCCCGCTGTGCGCCGCCGACCGCCAGTAGATCAGCGACTCCACTGCACATCCACACACACTACTTTAGTTATATCCATACTAATACATACGTAGCTATTACTACTTTCTACGACATTCATCACGACATCAAACACGGCCTCAGGATAACCCGCTCCAGTTCCTTCAACGATAACTTCACGTTTCACGTTCTTTACGCATTTTGCATATTCTGTGCCGATGACGTTTTGGTGACCGATACGTTACGCTTAGGTTTGTGTAAAACTGGTGGACGGTGATCCACTAAATCTTTTGTACTAAGTTAATGTTTACAGTTAACATTAAAGTTACTAGACCAGTAGATCGAACCGGTTTACATTCAAAACTTATAGTAACGACAACACCCAAACACGGTTGTTGCCTTGTTATGGGGCAACTCAGTCGAGCGGCGCTTACAGAAAGTACCGTTACATCAGTTTAGTGGCCGTGCCACGGCGTACGGGGACAATGTGGCACTTGGAAACTGCTAAGTAGATACGTACCGACACGATCGCACACCGCAAAACATATGGCTTATAACTGTTTCTTTAAACGACTTGGGCATGCGAGACATTCGATTATTTTGTTAAATATCTCGAATCTTAGTAAAAAAACTTATTTTCAGTGATAAAATCGAGATCCGAGTAGTATTGTGCTGAAAGTATTCGAGTAAATACGAACGGGTTATTACACAGCTCTACTCTAGATCCACTAAAACTGGCTACGTTACACGGCAGACTTCCGTTCCACGTCCACAGGAAGCCGAAGTCCGGGTACACGGTACAAATAGAACGTCTCGCGAAAGAGAGGTGGGCCGAGGGAGTCACGCGGAGAGAGTACCTGGTCCTCGGGGCGGCAGAGGTTCTGACTGCGCGTAGTGTCGCGGCGAGTGCTTGGGACGCGCCATGGCGACGGAGTGAGCGGTGCGGGCTCGGCCGGCGGAGGCGCGCACATGGCGAGCGCCACGCGGCCCTGCCTTTCACACACGTCACCGTGACGCTGACCCGCAGCTGACACCGCACTACACCCGCTGCCACGCGACACCTCTCCACCGCGCCAACACTGTCACTCTAGCTACATTCACTCCAATCTGAACCGCGGGTCGGTTCAAATACACTCTTACTATCAGACTAAATACTTAACTTTAAATCACTTAATACCAAATGCGGTTGGATCTTGACCTCTCGACGATCTGGATTCCATAATAGACTCGCATCAGGGGTTTAAGTAACCAGAACCAGACCAGACATAAGAACCACATTAATCGAATGATCGTGAGTCATTAACCCGACCTCTGTTACCAATATAGAAGCTACCGGTGTCGGTGGCAGGCATGTTATATTTATCATTTCACTTCAAATAATATTGAGATTTGAGACGTACCAAACATCTCAAAGTGTCAATCAGTATTCAATAAGTACTTTACCTAACTAGTAAACTCAACAAATAATGCAAACGCATACCAGCAACAAAGTAATACAGCGTGAACGTTGAAACTGAAAGTCAGTGCGACTGTGCGAGTGAAGAAAGGCTTTCATTTATCATTCATAATGTGCGAGCACACAGACGCCGCCGAGGAAAGCGATTCCACGCCACAACAAACACGCAGGCGCTCGCGCACCACGCGTTTGGCACCGAGCTGCGCCGGCGCACGGTCAATGTCGTTTAGCCTTAATTGCCTTATCAATAATCAACGTATGTAGGTACTAAGTATACGTTGCTAAGTGTAACCATGACAACAGCGATATTTAAGACAAAATTTACGTTTACGTTTTTTAACAATCACGGAAGCGATATAGATTTATAGATCCGTTTGCAAAACTTAAACAATTTTTTATTTTTCACAATAAGAAAGGGCTTTATTTGCTTTAAAAACTTTATGTCTTTTGTTAAAGAGTTCAAACCTAACCTAACCTATGATAAGAGTATGTATTATCAGAATAATGACATAATATTGATAACACACGCATTGTGTTGAACCACAGTCTAAATGTAGATTACGTCGAGGTAATAAATATCGAACAAATCTAACAAATTAGGATTCAAACTTAAACTTTCAGAAAAGTTGTGAAACTAACTACGTAGGTACAAAGATGTACCTACAAACCTCATTAGGTAATGTTATCAATAAAAGAATTCAGCGCAGCACCTATTCAGGTACCACTGTATACGGTCAGTTAAAGCAAAACCTAGGAAACATACTAGGCTTGCAGCCTACGAATACAGTCTTACTATATTCGTATATCTTTACTCCGCACTCGCAGCAGTTAAGTAGGTACTAGTACTACTTAATAAAATTGTTAGTTTCACGTATCTGCAAATTACGTGATAATTAATCGACGACATACACGGCGAGCTCGCATTTCTAAATTCAATAGAGTGTAACATTAGCAAGCAGGCGCTGTGTCTACTACATGTAAGGTTAATAAACATTTAAGTAAACCACAGCCCGAGGGGAGAGACAATAGTTCGGTCGAGGTCGGAGCGCAGTCACACAGCGATAAAAATAACGCACTATCCCTCGTAGCCGACTGTGATTGCAGCTTCCGAACCATCATCGCCAGACGCTTGCTCGGATAAGCATCTACCTACTAAATAAAACACTGCAATCATTTATATTCTTACTTTGAAAATAGATTTTAAAATAAAAGTAATACCAGTTGTATTACTTTTATTTTAAATTGTATTACTTTAACTAAATTGTATTTTTTTACATAACCCGATATCACAAAGTAAATATTCAGAGATAACAAAAACGCATCGAAACGTAATAAAAAAGTAAGAATTATTATATTTTGTGATCACAATGGAACTAAACAGATGGAATCGGTTAACAAAGGAAAATAACCGTGATAAGGTAAACTAACGACTCTTTGTCTCCAGCGATAGTGGGGCCAAAGAGTCCTCCATAATATCTAATTGCAAAAATAAATTAAATTTACGTCGATGCATCAACGATCGACGATGTTTCTGCACAAGAAAATGAGACAGATGAAATTAACAACATACCTACTGCCCAAAATAGCAACTACAGATTGGATGGATACCTTCTCTTCGGTTACAATGGATTCGTTTGGTCATTTGTGAGATAATAATAAACGGTTCTCTAGTAAATTCATTCAAGCTTCAGCTCATAACCAGTCATTACAATGTTCTACTGGTTCGTTTTCGCAAGGGTGCACTGCCACGTTGTAAATAGAGACATTGCAATGAGAATACCAAATTTCGATAGTAAAGTAGCTAGTAAATATTGCGAATGATAGCTTCAGTACAAAAATTCTTTTCAGCATAGGTACTAGCGCTGGGACTAAGCCAAAGGAAGCATCTCATCTAAGAACATAGACGCGATTCTCGCTCTGTTGCTTTTGGATTGTTAGTAATGGTACTCAATGGGGAACTTTATGACAAGCACGTAGAGAGAGGTTATGTTAGGTTTGACTTATGGTATTTTCAGAAAACACTTTAATAAACCTATTTTAGTAGTTATTATGGGTCTAAGGCTATTTGTAACATTACAATGCACTTTAGCATTGACCTTTTACAGAAAGGAGCAAGAATGCTCTTTTGCCCACTCCTTGTGAAAATTTAGCTCTCCCTGCCGTTGTCAGGATTGCCAACACGGAGATCGCAGTTGTTTCAATTTTAACGGTTCACTGTCGCAGCAGCTTATCAAAAATTGCCCAGGAATATGAAATAAATTGTGTACAAGACATTTTCTGGATGGATTTCATCCAATATATATTTTTTCATCGGCTATGTTGTAATTTTTATCTTATACACATATTCTTAGTACAGAGTTATTTTACGCCTACCTCTGCACGCGCATCGTTGTGAGAGATATGATAAGCAATTTGTTCCTAGATTATTTTATTTTCCCACACTGTTTTTTATACCTCTACAATCGTTGTCACGGTGAACACATGGCAAAGGCCAATACCAAAATTAAAAATTAACATTCCAGCACACATGTTGAAAAATGAATATGATGATTTCATAAATAAATTGTTTTGATAGTAAGTCACTTTAGTCTCAGCAACATAACTTCTTTGAACAATAAACGTGCAGATATCTCTTAAACTGTCAAACACCAAGCGGTCACCGGTGACCGCGACCTATTGTTCTTTAATTGTGTCTATAAAACCGGTACTCGACGAGTTAATTGCTTCGAGCCTAAAATACAAAAACAAGTAAAATTAAATTATTTGTGACTCTTGAGTTTCATTCTATCCATGACGTATGTACCTAGGCATTTGTTACATTAGCGCGTACAATTAGTAAGCACCCATTAGACGATCAAGGTGAAATCAATAAGAGTACATGTCGATGAAATACGACTTATCAGTGAAGTCACGTACTGGCCAGCCAGTAGTACGAGAAACAATACAAGATATCTTGCAGGTACCAACACACCAACCAACTAATTATTACGATACAATAGTACGTAAGTGTAATCATAGCAAAACTTACGTATCTTTGTAAATTAAGTTGGTAGATACCGGTATGACATACAAATAACGTAATTATGGAATAAAAATGTAGTCTAACGACCCCGAAATGCAAATTCTTCAGACTTTAGCAAGTCAATAAATGTACTAACTGCGCGAGCAAGGCACGAGCATGCAGTACAGCACACGACATAAATGACACAAGTAGTCTTGTTGCCATTGATTCATTGATGCTATCAATAACTTCGGACACATGTGTGAAGTTATTGTGCCTACATGTAAGGTGTAGCCTTAGAGTTATAATTTTTATGTTCACTTGAGTTTGATGTGCAGGTAAACATCATTGCAAGGAGGGAAGTAGTGGGTAGCACGCCTTAGCGTAACAGATACCCGGCTATACCTATCTACACCGACATAGAATTCTTGCGGCCTCCAATGTCCGATCAAGTTTCTCTTGTCGCGTAGAAAACCAGGAAACAAAGAAAAATCAGCGTTCCGTTAAAACATGAACTGTAGTGTAGCCTGCAAAGCCACAAGCCACTGAAACAGTGAAGGACGCACGGTGTAGGTCACTTCTAGGGTATTAGCTTGTAATTAAATTATGGCAGCAAGAAGAAATAAAGATATACATACTCGCTACTTGGATATTCGATTCGGCCTAGCTTCACTGACGGACAGACTGACAGACTATTATTTATTTCATATTTGTTGACGTTTCAAAAGTACCAAATTAAGGTTTAATTGAAATAAATGCTTTTGAGTTTGAGTTCGAGTGAGCTACTTCTCGGCACCCGGTGGTTATAAAATAGGTACTTACACTTGAATAAGATTATGTAGAAATTAAAAGACATCCTTCGGCCAATATCTTAACGAAACTATGAAACGAAAGTCTTGGTACTGTATGATGGAATCGTCTATTGTGGACTTGGTAAATAGAAACTACTTTTTTTAGAAATAATTATACGAATCATTAGAACACAAATAAAAATATTCCGCTTATTTTTATTTCTTTTTGGCAAGACAATGGTCGCCAAATTCGGTACAGATTATAATTTATGGAAAGAAAATCCATCCTAAAACTAAACTACTGAACCTTGCAGAACGATAGGTATTCAATACAAGTACCTACATTCATGAAGTAACCACAGGCAATTATTTATTTATTATTCTAAACATAAGTCATTCAAAAGTCACATAACTGCCGCTAAGAAAATAATACAAACTGAAACTGACTCAATCGCGCACACAGGGCAAGTCAAATATACTCTACTGGACTGTAGCTTACCCAGTCACCTCAAGCAGTGGGTATTATGGAAAATTCATTAATTGATTCATTCTTATTAAATTACTTTGTTCGTATAAGTTGTGCATTCTCAATGTTCCTGATAAATACTCACCTACCTACAAAAAAAATATTTTTCGTCATATTACTCTTTCCATACCTACTTGCTATATGTATGTATCTACTACATTAAATAGATGTTGTAGGTACCTATTTAAGTAAAAATTTTTTAAGTCTCACTTTAAGTGATCTGTATTTTGTAAACCTAATTTAAAGAAGTTTGTACCTCCAAACCAGAAATACAGCCCAAAAATACCAAACTCATATTAATCAAGATATCCAACTAATATTAATTCGGACAAGTCCCACCGATAGATCGTCAACGATATAATAAATCAGTTTGTTACCGACCTCAGCGTCAGTTAAAATAAGTCTAATTTGATCTTGGCTGGCAATTTGAAGAGAGCACAGAGTGAGTAGCAAGGCACAGCGCATGCGCGCCGCCACACATTCATTACAAACGCAATATTAATGACATCCAAAAGTCAGATGAGCCATGAGCCAGCGGCACGATCAACTACAATGCTTTATCTCGTAGTCGTAGGTACAGATAAATATAAAGACGTTGCGTCGTAACGGTGACGACACATTAGCTAATTGTGCGGTTACGCACTGCACAGCTATTTGCAATTTATGTCTCATACAGGTATAAAAATACTTATTCGTGTATGAAATAGTGCAACTTTTATTTAACTACATACCCTGATATCGAGAGTAAAACTACATAATTCGTTTATATAATATCTGTGCCTTGATTCAAGTCTAAAATGAATACGACCACTGAGTAGCATGTAGTAATACATATTCCGAAGATTAATATTTCTAACTTTCTAACTTGTGAATTATTCTACACGCACTGATTGGTAAATAATAGAGACATAATATAATCGAGTCTGGAAGAACCTTGACTCGACACGCGGAGTTATTATTGTTCTGTCACCGGCGGCGACTGCCGTGGTTTGGCGGCAGTTCACAAACACGACAAAACTTAGCCATAGTATGCAGAGAGTGCAGAGTTCCCAGTGCACCCGCCACGATCACCACCACAACCACCACCACCAACACCACTATCACCATCACCATCACTGGTGTCACCATTTAACCCCGAGCAATCATAAATACATTGATCTGATATCGTCAATTTCACTGGAGCGGGGTTAACACTGAGCCTGTACGAACACTACGAGTGCTAGTAGCTGGCGGTAGTGGGTCACAGTGCAGGGCCGCAGGGCGAGACGCGCTGCGCTGCCCGGGCGGCGAGGCGGCCCGGTTGGCGACGCGCCACCTAAACGTATTTCTGCCCTCCGTTCCCCACGACCACTCACCTTCTGGGTGCAGCCTCTGCGGGTCGAACCAGGCATCTGGAATAGAAGGCTGCGCGTTAGCGGGTTAGTCGCGACAGACAGAGAGGAAAGCGGGCGAAGCGAAGCCGACGCGAGGGGGGAAGGGGGCACTTACGCGGGTTGAGAACGCTGCAGAGGGAGGGCCCGGAGTCCGGCATGCTGGTGATTTACGTAACGCGAATGTAAGGTGGATGAAGGCGGCGGACGGAGCGCGCGCCGCGCCGGACTCTCGCGTCGATACTGGCGGCGCAGCCCCGCACCGAGCCCTCCCGCCCCGCCCCGCAGCGCAGCCCCCCGCTCTCGCCTTGTCGCACGCATGCGCATCTACAACCCGGTGAACCACCACGTATGACCAGCACCCCTAGCATGTTGCAGCACCACCATAGCCTGACACCGCGGCACGCATGTCCGCACCCTCGCCACTTGGCGTACCTTAGCCTTTTAAGTAGTTAGTGCCAATGTTAGTCATTACCGTGCGGTTAGTAAGCTGTGCAGTAATTAATTCCCATACTATCCAGGGTAGATAGATAAATGAATGAAATAAAAGGTAATCACATAATTCAAATGACGTAATGAGCGAGAATCAGTGAGACGACATAATGTGGTAGACATCTAAATGCACTCAGTTAGCTGCAGGTCGTAGGTCAGCACTCGAAGAGGTCTAATTGGTCTCAGCAGTGACCCACAAAGGGAATTGCCATTTGAAAATTCCTATCACGCACGTTCCAGGATTCACGGAACATCATAAATTCATAACAATAGAAAATCTCAAGACACAAACATTTACATAAATAAATTATTATAAACTTGAAGAGCTACCAAAAATGTGTGGTTCAACAAAGCCATTTTTGATACTAAAAATAAGTACCTATACCAAAATTAAAAATATCAGAATATGCACCAAACGAAGAAATATAAAATCTCAAGTATCTCAACCCAACGACGTATTATGTCGCTCTTATCTTGTTCGGTACCCAATGTTACGATGACTCATCTCTTTGCTGACTTGCCGTTGTGGTTACCTTGACGTTATCGTATTTTCCTTTGGCACAACATAGTTACAATTGGATGCCACCAAATAGCTTACTTGTTTTCTGGTTGGTTCTCGTACGGGAAACTCTTGTAAAGAAATCGTTAAAAATGTTGTTCCTAGTCTGAGTGTGACATATTTTTTAATTTGTCAAATATAATATTTGTCACTGCACCCACAAAACTGAAACACTAGTGTACATCTACAGTTCATTAAATACGTGGGGGGGGGTGTGGAATATTTAGGATTATTTTAGTCCATTGATTGATTTGACCTAAGTTGCAGTTTACGGTCTAATCGGTGGCGTATCTAGAATGGCCCAAACAGCAACTTTCCGTGCGTCTTCAGGGTACAAAATTGTAAAGATGGTACAAAACTTAATTTTTAATTTAATTTTTTGGTATCTGTTATATTTGAGTTTTGTATTGTATTTTTATTTGTGTATTATATTTTATATCGGCCACAGTTGCCTGAAATAAAGAAACAAATAAAACGGTCGGTAAACGGTATCTTAAAAGTGCTCAGTTTGTACTCTGAGCACTTTTAAGATGCCGCACTTTTCAACGGGGTCGAACTTCCATTACCATAGCAATTGGAGCTAACTCCTTCGTGTACGTTTTAATATTTTAATCTATATTATAATTATACATATTAGTAAATAAACATATATTCTACTATTTGCTCGCAACTTTTTCCTGTTCTAATTGGGAAAAACAATTACGATCCGTCTGGTCAGTTTAAATCGATGACTAAATGACTATAAATGAATAGTTTAAGACTTATTGCCACGTATCACGACAGGTTGTACCTACTGTCAGTTGATAATGTAATTCGGAGCGATGTCGGGGCGAAGACGGCGCTGTATGTACATTGTATAGGTACTACATAAACTATAGCAGAGAATGAGTCACAACAGTTTATTTAATAAGGCAAACTGATTCCTAACCCTAAATACACCCTCTGCAAAACTATTCTTTGATATCACATACCAACTAAACTAATAAATAAATATTGAAGCCATCAGACTTTCAGTAATTTATGTATGTAAATATATTTTCTTACATGTAAGGCATAAGACCGTCAGCAACAACCCTAACCTAGTTGGAAAAAGTCCAGGAGTCGAAACAACCAAACAATATTTAGATAGAGTATTGTTAACAGATGTAGATACTTTAGACCACCCCCAGAGCGTTGTTGAGAAAACCTACAAATCCAAAATCCTTTATGCCAGGATCTATATCAAAGACCAACCAAAAAACTTAAAAAAGCTACGAAAACGCGTAGATATAATATTCCCATCATCACGCGTCTCGTCTAAGACATATAAACCTAATGTCATGGATCCCGAAATACGATCATTGGCGACATTATGGACCTATAAGAAAAAAAAGAGTCCTCGTCCCTTTGATTTCAGGGAGCTAAAACCAATAAATACTTAATGATGAAAACAAAGTAAGTATGAAATAAATAAACAAATAAAACTGAAAATGTAGTATTTTTTTTATTATTTTCTGGTAATATTACAACACGGTAATTTCGCTATCATTATCTCATTATTGAGTAGGCTGCATAGTAAATTAAACATGAGTGACGTGTGCGACGCCATGTCGCGCCGGTTAAAAATACCCCGTGCGACTGCGAGACGGGCTCGGTAACGATGACGTCATCCACTACCTGTACACGCCACTTGCATATCTACATACATAATATGTAGATACCACACACATATTACAAAATACAATGTCGATTCGCCTATACCATAATTGCTTGAACATTTCTCCCAAATTATTTTTTAGGTTTTACTTTACTTTTGTTCATATTTTCTTGACTACTTCATTATGGACGTTAAATTTTTCGACAGAATGTTTGGACCAGAACCGTGGATATACCTATAGATTGAAAAATTTCAACATACAATTATTTGTATGAAGTCTGTTATACTTTTTCATCTTGATATTGATACTCCAAACGACATTGGGTACAATAATGACTAAAACCAAAACAGCGAATGTCCTTGTAAGTAAGGTAGCAATTGCAGGCTGTTGTAACTACTAGAGCTTGAATTATTGTGCACGCGACTACGTTTCGGATATTCCATTCTTTTTTTTATTCTGCCAATTTACCAGAAATCCTCAGTTACAATACATTTTTAAAAATCTTTGTCATTACTGAATAATAGTTAATTATAAAAATAGTTTATTCTTATCGTATGTGAACACTATTCTAGAAAGATAATTTTGTGCTTTTTTACAACACATATAAATGATTATAGTTCGATAGTTTAAAGGTACCTAATTGTTGACGTGACAATACCGCACATCCACCCTTCTTAGCATAGGCACTTAAAGCTTCTAGGTTAGCAACCACTAGTCATCGAAAAGAAAGCAGACGGTGACAGTGTGTCTGTGCGGTGGTTGGCGAACATTCAACATGTATCGATCGCCAACCCGAGCTCACCCTCGCGACCCCCGCGCCAGACACTACTCCGGACTAGCCTTTATTGCAGCCATGTATGAAATTGTTAAAAAAAGGTGTGATAAGCACTAGGTGATATCTTTCATGATTTTTACTCCTAGGACCTATCTTCAATTTAACTTTTGTTATTTTTACAAGATAAGTACCAAAAGTATGCATTTGTAAAACCATAGATATTTTAATACTGAATTTTAAATTTTGCCTGCGTTGTTATTATTTTGAGTGAGTAAACAAAGGGTGGCAGAGAAATGATGTCATCCGAAGAACAAGGGTCACAAGGGGTATAGCGCAGCGGTAAATACATTTTGCGAAGGTTGGAATTGGGTCACGAGTGTGAAACCGTACCTATACATAAAATGATGGCAGCAGACTCGTCTCATATCGACATGTAGTGTAATAGATAACATTCGACTTTAAAGATATCTATTTGATAAATACTATTACATTAACAATATAACAGCTTTTGCCAATGGTTTCACTGTATTTTGTTACTGACTAACTATAATGTAATCAAATTCAGATTCATTCACTGGCTTCTGCGTAACAAATATAGGTTTACATTCATAAATTGTCACAAAGTCACAAACATTGCATTTTTAAAACTAGTAACAATTAAGCAGAATAATACGAAGAATTATGCACGTTGAGCTATGTGATTTGAGTGAGTATGGGTATTATTAAAGGAAATGGAAACTTAATTTATTAACTAAAATAGCGCAATAATGCTAATACGGCTAATTAAACAAGTCAATGATTAAAATCATCGCTTGTGATGCAAGAGAGGAGTTTACTGTTGAAGTACCAGTTTATTATAGCTCTGGTAACCTGGTCATTCCATTCTACACATTCATTAATTCAAAAGACAAGTGCTTAATCAGCAATGTTAATAAAATTAACAAAAAACGTCAATTTACTGTAGGATCCAATAGTTTCTACAACAATTAATCTTCGCAGGATTAGGGTTTCTGATTGTCCTCTTGCTGAGAACCCATAGGTGTATTTCCTACATTGCCATAAAATTGAACTACGACACTGAGTCACATACCTATAAGGATACAATAATCACACACTCACTCACTCACACATCACACGATGATCACAAGAAATACCATATTTTGTTGAGATCAAACTTACACTGTGTGGGAAAATTGGTTTAACCTGAAGGTCTTTCACAAACAATATTTTGCAAGGGACACTATCTTTAAGTAATATGAAGCCTATTGTGAATAAAAATAATATAATAATGATGTAGTCTCTTATTGACTACAATATCTGCACTGCACCCGAGCATATTATTAGGTATTGACATTTATAAATGTAACTGATCCAAAATTAACAGCGGAAGCACATCTGACGTAATTTTTAATGCAGAATAACGCGCGGATTTATGTAGGTTATCGTAGTATTAAATGTACAAGAACGTGATCAAATACTTATTCTCGTTTGTTTTACCTTGTTACAAAAACATTCTATCCAAAAACCTCGGCTGTAACCACTGACACCCAAATCCCATCTCCAAATTGTATCAATACAGCAGCTTTGCTACTTACGGGTGATATCGTCGCCATTTCCGGATCCCATGTTTCGCACAAACAAATTCCACACAACCGGCAAGTTCTCTCGAGAGTGAGTCACAGCATGAGCACACGACGCTACATCAATGTCAAGCAAGCATTCGGAACAGTTGGCGGCTGAAAAGCGGGAGCTCGCAACGACGACGGCGGCGCAGGCGACGTGAGCGCTCGGCGGGTGCTCCGCTTGTGAACGCAGCGCGGTGCTGCTTCAGTGGTGCTAAAATTAGCGATGGTAGTCGTGCATACCACACGTCACCGCCGCTTGCCGCCCGCGCACTACCATACCCGGTGACACTTTTTGCTATAACCTTCAGCAAAGTTAACCAGATAACTAAAGTAAAGGCACCATCTATACTCGCTACTTCATTACACAAGAGGCACTGATTCTGCCATGCGACAATAATGCGATGATTACCATAAGGGGAAACCCAATTGAATAAACCTAATATTAACCCTTCAACTTCCCGAGTCATAATAATTATGCACATTTTGTATATTTGGTTTAGGATATAATTATATATACACTGAGATAGTACTGAATATAATTTCTATTATCGTTATTATAATGCTAAATCTTAGCAACAGTATTTTGTAGTTCAGTTAATAACTCATGATATGGGGAACTGATAGGAAACAATTATTAGGAAATGATGAGTCATAGTCACTACACCAGTAATAAGACTTAAGACTGAAGAGTTAAATTAATGAAAATGTATTGCTATCAAGACGAATGATATCCATTATCAATGGATGGGCTCAAGAATGCAAGGAATAAAGCAATAAGGGTACACAGGAGCTGGCCGAACCGGAGGTAGACTGAATAATATACGGGCACTACACAATCGGACGTCCGCATGCAGCGCGAGCGAGCCTGTGGGTGCCGTTACCCCGACGTTGTTGCAGCGCGGCGGTCAACGCTCTTGCCGCTTCGCCACCTCTGCAGCCGACCTCCTCTACCCCTCTAAACCCCTATTAGACTGGCGTCACATTCGACGAGCTCAGATTACTTATAATTTTGTGGCAAAACATCGTGAATGTATCAAACTATCTAAATGTTCATTACACCAAAAAAATTACGTCATGATAATGCGACAAACATGTTTAATTTTATAGATATGCGTAAAAATATCAATTTTATGAAAGACAACAATATAATTATGTGGTGTTCAGGTACTGTAACTGTAATACACTTGCAGATAGGTTTAGTGTGCACGGGCATTGTTCTGCAGACACGATTTTTCACGGTCCGTAGCGTGCAGAGCTCAGTGTTCGCCTTCAAATTGAACCATTCTAATTTTCTAAAACTTACCGTGGCGTACAAAAAACCTGCCGCTAGCGACACCAGCTCTAGCACGAACAATGAAATCACTACTACAGTACCTATATAACTATGAATCAGAACATCGATGACTTGATTTTAGCCAGTGAAAATAATGTTTAAAACGATGATATGTAATGAAATGTAAATATTATCCAACAAAGAAAATCTTACCCAGTCCCATCTGGCAGAAGATAACCTCGGCCTCAATTACATGCGCTATTTGGCGTTTTGGCTCTGGAGCTACTACTGGCTTTGGTGGAGGTACTGGTTCCGACTGCATGGGAACAGGCTCCACGATCGGAGGCTCAGGTGTCGGCTCGGGTGACTTTGCTGGCCTGGGCTCCTCCGGTAGAGGTTTCTCGGGTGCCACCGGTACACTAGGAGCAGGTGGCGAAAGAGGTGCCAGTGCGGTCGCTGGCGCTAGAACAGGTGTAGGGTCGCTCGGTGGTTCAGGTGTATAGCCAGCGGCACGTACTGCCTCTGTCCTGGGCTCCACCCGGTGTATGGGAGACTCGCCAGCCGTGTCAGCGTCTGACTCACTATCTGTGAACTTGTCAGCGATATGGTCTGCCGAGGCGGAAGGCGCACGAGGCGGCTCCGACAGTAGCTCGCGTTCCATATCGAGGAAACTGCGTGTAGCGGTGGCAGGCTGGCGGTGAGGTGACTCACCAGCGTCTCTCTTTCCGTCACGATCAAGATGTTCAAAATCGTCCATTGAGTCCTGATCCCTCTTCATGGTAGGCTCCAAAGGCGGTGCGTCTCCAGCTGGTACGGAGTCTCCACTCGCGAGACCTCCGAGAAGAGCATCGGCGCCATCCATGTTTTCTTACGTAAAAGATAAAGGAGACTGAAGTCGAGTCGAGTGATCGATAGGGTGCGGGAATGGCGCGAGTGCGAGAAGATGCGAACGCGGAGGGCGGGTCCTGTCGTGTGTCCTCGCCGTATCGTACTGCGGTCTGCAAATCGTTTGCCGGCCGCGGCTGCACGACGTCACTCAGCACGAGAGGCGAACGGTATTACTCATCGCCGACCCCTCCGATGCAGCGGGGGCAGCGCCGTTTGCCGGCAATTTAAATAGATTAAAAATTGAACAAATTAAATTATACCAGTAAAGGAAAACAATTACAAATAAATGAAATATTTTTAGAAGACGCAAAGACCGTGAAGTTTTCTCTTTATATGTAAATAAAATTAAAAAACTGGAAATATTTAGCGCAAGCAAGAAATTGCTGAGAAAAGTATTGACTTTTCGATCCAGACCTTTTTGAAGGCGCGCTAAGTTAGCACTGTTTTACCGACATTTCCAAAGACAAAAATTCTCATTTTCACAAAATTCTGAATTAAGATCGGATACGCTCACCGATCTCAATAGCCGGGGTCCATTCATTTAGCTAAAAATAAAGGAAGAATTTAGTCAGTTTTCGTGTTTAAGAATGTGGTAATATAGTACTTTAGTAATACTCAGCGTCAGGTTGGACTACTACTAAGTTAGGAAACAAAAATTAGTAAGTACTCTCAAGCATAAAAAATTTTATTCGATCATAATTTCATAAGTAGAAGTATTTCTTTTGACAAACCGTACAATACATACGCATACAAATACGTAAAAAAAAACAAAAATAATAAATAATAATTAGTTGCACCTGAATATAAATTAGCAATCAACGTTCCATAGTTTTTGCCTAACCCCATTGGAGACAGGCATGAGGTTACGTGTGTGTATGTAGGTACTTACTTACATACATACATACCTTAAAATAAACTAATACTAAAATATTGACTAGAAATAGACGAAGAGTTCTCGTTGGTATCACTGTAGTATTGCCAAGTTGGATGGCAATGCTTATTTATTTTATAACCGAAGAAATAAGAAATAGCCAGCCCTTTGGTTACGACCGTGTAGAGACGCTAAAAAACCCACCCACAGGTATTTTTTTTTAAACACAATGCGCGCTGGGATCCCTCCCCCATGACCCAAGTGTTTCGAGTGTTTCGAACGTCTTTGGTTTCGACCCCAAATGAGTAAAACAGTATTAACATACTAGATTTGAATATTTAGGTACGCTGTTTGAATTGAAGGTTATACCCATTGGATCTTTACCTACTGGCTAGCTGGCAACAATTCTTTTGTTTCCATTTTTATTACTAATACTAGATTTGCTGATGCTAACATTTGGTATAAGATATTATTCCAATTTAGGGAAATTCAAAAACAAAGATAGTAAAATTAAATTATTTAAAGAAATTGTGCATATTTGAATCTATGGACTTACAAAAATTATTGTCAAAATATCAATAATGACAGTGACACTGACAGCGCCGTCGATAAAGCAGTCTATATATATAGATTCGAATCGGAAAACCTATGTTGTAGCTTGGTATTGTAGCCTTCTTAGCGCTTGATAGGCGCTAACATCTTTCCGACAGCAAAGTGACTTAATAGACTGCGGTTTACAGTGTAGTAAATAATTAAATACAGCGCTTCTATTCAGCGTAGTTAAAGCTGGGTGAGGTATTTCAACAGCAAATATCGTACCACCTATTATTTCCTCCAACCACTATAACTAGATAAAGTGTTGTTAGTCCACACTCCACAGCTAATATCTCTGAGGATAGGATGGCGACGACATTAGCGGGTAGCAGGAATGTAAGAGATTTAAGTAAACCAGATGAACATGGTTTTAAAGGATTGAAAGAAAATGTACATAATGGAAAAACTACTAATGGTTATATGAAATCAAACGATCTAAGAAATGGTGACACTGTAAGTAGATATTCATTTATTTATTATCCTTCCTGTTTAACAAGCACTTGCGCTTACTATATCTAATAGCGTGATACGACCGTAGCCGTAAAGAGTATGAGGAGCCATATACATTTTTTAATAATTAGTACTCCGCCCCTTAGGACCCTTAGAATAAGTGCTACATGGATTAATTACTTGGAATCTAATTGGAAAATGTAAATAACTGAATTCACTATACACAAATCCCTAGAAGTTCCTCTAAAAATATTCAGTCTGTGTGAATGCAATCGCATCATGTTTGTTTATCGTACAGACATGTGATTCATGGTAATAACCTAATGCATAAAATTAATGATTGATGATTCAGAAAAGGTCAGAATTTCAACGTTCACAAACAGGCTGCCACTCACACACTGAATGGAAACTAATTATGGTTGTAGGGGCCAATGCATGCTGTTTTCAACTGACTGATCCGCAAGTGTCTATTATTTATACATTTATGGCTGAATATAGATTCAGCAGCAGATCTGTTATGCGCGCTATGATAAATCTGAATACTGCTAATTTCCACCAAAATGTTCAAATATCACAGAAGCTGATTCTTAGTCAATTTATATTATAAATTTGACTCCACAACTTTCAGTCCACTTTAATAAACACACTGTAGTATAAAAAAGTATAGTTTTTTATTAATTTCATAATTAAGTAATTATATTCAAATAACTTCTTATTTCTGCCTGCGTGGATATAGTGTGCACTGTATTGTATTTAATTATGTTCATATATTTAACATGATCACAATTTTTTTGTTTCTGTTACAGGAGTTTGGTTTATCGGGTGGGGGAGTGCCAAAGATGGACTGGTCCAAGTACGACACATTCCCCGGTTCCTTTGAGAAGTGCACGTTGTTGACAGCGGCGCTCACTCACTTCGGTCTGTACATTCTCATGTTCCTCGGCTTTGTCAACCAGCTGCTGTTCACGCCGAAGGTTGCCACGGAAAAGAATAGAGAGGTTTGTACATGTACACTATTAGTATTAGAATTTGCAAAATCTGCAGCAGTGAGAGACTGAGAAAATGCTTTATTCATAACAGTAGCCAATCACCTGAACAAATCGTAGAAACACGTGCGTGCGCGGCACGGCGCGGTCACCTGCCGTCCCGCGCCATCGAGTGCCGGCAGCCATTGTTGTGTGCCACACAGTATCAGTCGCGAGCTAACGAGTGCTGCTCAGTGGTTTTATAACCCGAGTCTCACATACTTTTGAGGATGCTGAGACAGCTGATGATATCAGACTACTTCCAGCTTTTTTATACTTACGGTATCTGCATCCAGTTATGATGCGTATTACACAATCGCTAATAGATAAACTCGTAAGTACATAAGTACCTACTACAAACTCCAAAATAGTACCTACTAAATTACATTATTTCCTGTGTATGTAGTGCAACAATTTTTTACCTGAAGAGATGCTGAATTGCAAAACTTGCAAAATAGGAAATCACATCTTTTATCCCCGAAGGGGTAGTCAGAGGTGCACACAGAAGTAACACCAACTATTCACTATTTATGTTATGAGTCCCATGTAATAGGGGGTGACCCTATTGCTATTGCTTGCCGGGCACATTTCCAGACTCCGTGCTACTACTGAGATAAAACCCAGTAATACTTTGCCCGACCCGGGAATCGAACCCGAGACCCCTTGCCCGGTAGTCGGACTTGCGACCACTCGGCCAACGAGGCAAAATAGGAAATAAATATTAAAAATAAGTTTCGGGTATAACAGGTTATTGTATACCTACTTAAATTAATATAATAAAAAAATTATTAGGTATGTACCTTTGTGTGAGTGATAGGTATTAAACCAACTCGGATGTTTTAACATTTACCAACAAGTACCTACAAGAGAGACTTGAAAAAACATGACTGATAAAATGTATAAAGTTATGTATATGAATAACATTAAGATGTCGTAAGAGGCACTTGGAGAATAGTAGTGTCACCGCGACCGCACGCCGCGTCCCAAGCATTAGCAGGTCGTGTGTAGTCGACGTTAAAACCTAAAAAGATATAGATAATAGATATTTATGCAGTTTTAGAGTTTTGTGAGTGGGAAGTATCAACGAAAAATCACTGTAGCGCTGAAATAATTTCATTAACTCTGAGAGAATGAAGTCACGGCCATGCGGGGCACCGCCGCCGCTAAGCTAGTGCAAGTTTAGTTAACTGTGAGTCTGTGACTGACCGACATAACAATCACAAATTGTTTGAGATGCCTTGTACGCGCTCGCGCGGCTACTAATAGGCCAGCGACCGTGACATCAATGGACTTGTGTCTCTTTAATATACATCTTTAATTTAACTTATGGGCACCACTGCAATCTTACACTATGTAAGGAAAGTCACACAGCAATTAAAAATAATTAAGTCCCTATGTAGTAAATTATGTAATTAAACATTAATTAATTATATACATTGGTCCTCCTTGGAATCGCAACAACAAAACACTTGATGACTCCTTCTACTTGATACCGAATCAAACGCTAGGGGAAATACGTGACAGCCATGTGTATTGTATGATAATGTAGTGCGACCAATAATAATATACAGTTTACTTTGTAAGTCTGTTACTGTCTAAATAAATAATAATGAAATACTAAAATACGCACTGATTAAAAAGATCTCATCATGAGTGTCTTGCTCGCTTTCCTCCATTCAGTGGTTTGGTACCTACATACTAGAACAATGTCTCTGGTTTAATTGAAATGAATGACAAGGCGCTGGCCATACGCGTGGTGTTGCATAGAGTACAAAGTTAGTGGCAAACTGCTTTTGGGTCAATTTACCGAGGTGCTAAAATGCGCTGGTGCGGCGCGGTGCCGTCATACGCCTGATTGCTCCACTAATTAGACGGGAAAAGGTCAGCACATAGGTACCCGACCAATATGAAGGCTCTTCCTTTTTATGTCTATTTTTATATTACCAGAGGCTCGATTATTTCCAGAACCTCCTTGTTGTACTATTACTTATTAAGAATTCATATAATAATAAAATGCCGTAATATCAATTTTGACCAGTCAGTGTCCACTGGGAATCAGATCAGTAATTAGGCAGTAGAAAAAGTTTTCAGTGTAAGTATGTGTCGGCATGTGAAGTGTAGCAGTAGTTTAGCGTGTAAGGAAATGAGTGCCCGCCACGCGGCACACTATCTAATCGACATCTACACTACTTCATACCGCCTATTGACGACACCACACTATTCACATTCTTCATACTAACTGATCGACATGTATCTATATATTCAGTGACAGTACATTCATTATTCATGTTATTGCCTGAAGGACATTTAAGTACACTTTTATCAGGTCATGCATTCTGCAAAGATGGTGTAAAACATTCAGTCAAAAAAGTATCGGGAATGGATGAATTGTTTATGGTTCCAAATTCAAATTTTTGTTTTTTTTTTGTAGTTGTTAGATTGGCATAACTGTTTTCCATTCTGGCGCGTAGTTTGAGTTGCATCTGCTATTTATATTAAATACAGTGCTGGTTTTAGTAATATCATATATAGTGTGTATTGCGAATTTCATAATGGATAAAAATATCGAACAAAGAGTTTGTCTTAGATTTTGCATCGTCAATGGAATTTCGTGTTCGGAGTCACTGGAAAATGTTACAGAAGACTTACGGTGAATTTACTTTATCAAAAACTCGGGCTTATCAGTGGTTCAAAGCTTTCAAAAGCGGTCGAGATGTGATGGAAGATTTGCCTCGCTCTGGTAGGCCGTCACCGTCTGCAACTGAAGTTTAACGTCGCAAAAGTGTATAAAATAGTGACTGAAAATCCCCATTCAACTCTGAGAGAAATAGTCGCCGAACTTTCTGTATCTCACGAGTCGATCCGTACCATTTTAACTAATCATTTGGGTTTGAAACATGTTGCTGCTCGGCTAGTCCCAAAAGATCTGAATTTTCTCCAAAAACTCAATCGCATGAAAGTCGCCGAGGACTTGCTAGAACGAGTCAGTTCGGACCCAAAATTCATGAAACGAATTGTTACTGGTGACGAGACGTGGGCTTACGAGTTTAACATGCCAACTATGTAAGCTTCGGAGTGGCGCCTTCCAACTGAACCGAAACCAGAAGTTAAAGTCATGTTGACTGTTTTCTTTGACTATCGCGGTGTTGTGTACTCTGAATAATTACCGAAAGGTCTAACGGTAAATAAAAAATATTATTTGAGCGTTTGCGGCGTTTAAGAGAGCAAAAACGCCAGATTTTGAAAGAAAATTCTTGGATTTTGCACCACGACTATGCGCCTTCGCAGAAGGCTATCATAGTGAACGAATTTTTGACCAATCACTCAAAATATACCATCCAGCAAATATTCACCAGATATGGCTCCTGCTGACTTTTTTTCTTTTTCCTAAACTCAAATTACCACTTCGTGGCACCCGTTTTCAATCGATAGAAGACATAAAGGAGAATTCGCGATGAGAACTGAACTTAATTCCGGAAGCAGCGTTTAAATAATGTTTTGATGAATGGATTATTCGTTGGCGCAAGTGTATCGTTTCTAAAGGAGCATCCTTTGAAGAATAACAGATATTTTGTGTATTATTGATCTTTTCCCGATACTTTCTTGACAGAGTAGTACTATAAGTCAGGCCTGTCGAAAGAAAGGCCCGCGGGCTGCATGCCGCCCCTCGACTTGTTTTCATGTGGCCCGCGACACACATTTTATTCTTAACATCTACATCTTATGTGTAACAATAATAATGAAATTCAGTGTATTATTTGCCTACAAGTTTTGTCTGTGAGTAAAGAATACAATGTTAAACGTCATTACAGAACTGAAAATATTTGTGTGGCCCTCCAGCTTTTGTAAGTAATTTAATTAGCTCGCGAGAGTATATAGTTTGGACAGCTCTGCTCTGTAAGTGATTCCACTCGTCATGCGTGAGGCGGAAGGAAATATCAGACTGTTACTCACTAAAAACCATTCCCCTTCGAACTCCTGGCCGGCGTTATATGCGGCTATCCGGCAGATCTATTCAATCCTATCATGCTCTTATAAGGTCCATAGTAATAGAAGGCGCAAGTTTTGCACATCAAGAGGAGTCGTAACCGCATCCTCATCAATCTATACATTTAGGTATATTTGTTCCACAGCATTATTTATTTATTATTATATGGAATAGCTTTTACCCGCGGCTTCGCTCGCGTTACAAAAGAATAAAAAGTAGCCTATGTGACATATACCAACACACACAGCGCCATCTATACCAATACTTTTGTTTTTCCTCGGGAATATAAATTTTTTCGGGTTAAAAAGTGCCCTATTATTTAATCCGGACTTCTAACTTTACGTCTGCAAAAATTCAAAGCAATCGGTTGAGTAGTTAAGGCGTGAAGGTGGAACAAACAAATAAACAAACAAACTCACTTTCAGATTTATAATATTAGTAAGGATAAATGGGAAATTTTAATTAATGTTTATTTATTGTTACTGTGGTGTTGCATGTTGCAGGGGTACGCGCCGCTGTACGACCCGTTCGAGACGTTCTTCTCGCGCTACGTGTACCGGCGCGTGCAACATTGCTTCAACCGCCCCATCAGCTCCGCGCCCGGCGCTGAGCTCACGCTCAAGGAGCGCTGCACTGATGACCGGAACTGGACCTTCAGGTAATCTACATTATACTACTTACTACACTTCTACAGCTGGAATATAATACGTAGGCGTAGGTAGTATACAGACCACACGGTGAAAAATAATAAACATTAAAATGTAAAGATATATTTTTCCATAAATGACGAAGAATATAAAAAAGTTTGTTTGTTTTGTTACCACATCTGACCTTGCCACCAAAAAGTCTTAAAGATGAATAATAGTCTAACTGACAATATTATTGTTTGTTTATAAAAAAGTGTGTCGTCGTGAATACTTACTGCACGATTGAGTAACGCTAATGCTATTACACGTCACACTCATTTGAATAAATTTAATACTTGAGGTAACATCAATAAAATGTTATTATTCTGGAAGTGTATTTATTTAATGAAAGAAATTGAAGAAATTACACGTAGTCCTCGTATTAGATAAATCGGCAATTGGGATGATGACAGGGTATGAAAATTAAAAAATATAATTAGTCCGTAAGTTAGGTAATGAAGAAATATTAGACACATATTTTTTTATCCTGTCGTATAATAAAACAATACTTAGATAAAACCAATTAAAGTTTAGGAGTGGGGGCTAAAACGTCCTTTCTACGTATAAAACGTAAATAGAAGTGACGTCACGCGACATTTCAAATCAATGTATTGTCGAAAGTATTCGTTTATGTAAGTAAATAAAAAATACGTGTCTAATGATTTAACATAATCTACCAGACGGACATTAAAATAAAAATTAGGCATCTACCCTATTATAAAGGCATTGACGTGATATAATATTTCACGGAACGTGCTGTTATTCCTAAGATAGGTAAATAATCCTGTGGGTTACAGGCACACTGCACAGGCAAAATCATGGCATTTATTTAAATTATATAAGGATTTAGGCAATTTAAGCGTGCCTATTTAAGGAAATAGGCACTTTTGAAACGTCAAAAATTGAATTGTCCGTTTGTCTGTCTGTCAATGACGCTAGGCGCTATTTCCAATATGTATGTAAACCTGTATAATATGTATGCTAATCCAATTAAGTGGCAAATATGTTATAGATAGATGAGCCAAACATTAATATATCTATCAATTCGTAGTTAAGTCATTGACTTTCAATAGAAATCTGTTGAAGGCAAATTCTGCGCTAACGTCGGTCTCCGGTGCCGCCCTAATGAGAAACGTTTATAAACAAAGTGTTGTATTGTTATGTTCCAGGTTCACGGGCACAGAGCGGCGCTGCATCAACCTGGGCTCGTACAACTACCTCGGGTTCGCGGGCCACAGCACGCACGACGAGGTGGCCGCCGCCGCGCGCCGCTACGGCCTCGCGCTCTGCTCGCCGCGCGCCGAGCTCGGCACCACGCGCCTGCACCACCTCCTCGAGGAGACCACCGCCAAGTTCCTCGGGGTCGAGGTACTGCTACTGCTACTGTCTGCAACCGTCTGTAAGCTAGGATCTGCACTAGAAGTTCATCAAAAGAAGCATTTATACAACTGAAAACAAATTCTTATATAAGGTGGAATAAGTTTAATTTAAAATAAGGAGCTGAATGCAACCCAGTTAATATAAATGTCCATGTACTAACCGTAGAAGCATTTAATCATAAGTAACTGCCTCGACATGTGACAAATTGAACATGACACCCACATCCAGTAGTGAGACGTGGGTGAACGAGTGTCGCGTTGCAGGCAGCCATCGTGGTGGGCATGGGGTTCGGCACCAACACGCTGGGGCTGCCCGGCCTGCTGGGGCCCGGCAGCCTGGCGCTCAGCGACGAGAAGAACCACGCCTCGCTCATCATGGGGCTCCGCCTCGCGCGCGCCACCGTGCGCGTGTTCCGCCACAACGACGTGCGACACCTCGAGCAACTCGCGCGCGCCGCCATCGCGGAGCGCAAGTGGACCAAGATCGTCATTGTAAGTACCGAGTGCCGCGCCCCGGGCTGCGCCCCCGCGCCCCCGCGCCCCCGCTGACGCTCGCCGTGCGCAGGTGGTGGAAGGCGTGTACAGCATGGAGGGCACGATAGTGCCGCTGGGCGCGATGGTGGCGCTGAAGCGTCGGCTGGGGCTGCAGCTGTACCTGGACGAGGCGCACAGCGTGGGCGCGCTGGGCCCGCGCGGCCGCGGCGTCTGCGACCACGCCGGCGTGGCGCCCGCCGACGTCGACGTGCTCATGGGCACCTTCACCAAGAGCTTCGGGGCCGCCGGCGGCTACATCGCGGGTGAGTCGCTCGCACTGCGCCTGGGCTCGGGCTGACGGCTGCGACTGGAGTACATGAGCTCCGTGTGTGCAGGGTCGGCGAAGCTGATCAACTGGATCCGTCAGTACGGCCACGCGCACACGTACGCGCACGCGATGTCTCCGCCGGTGGCGCAGCAGATACTGGCCGCCATGCGCCTGCTGGACGAGGAGGAGGGGCGCCGGCGACTGCGAGCTCTGCGCGAGAACACGCACTACTTCCGCGACCAGTCAGTCACTCTCACTCTTTCACGAACACTCATCATTCAAGTTGATTTCTATTAGGTTTAATGAACCGTTCTATAGTAGAATTAAATTCTCATTAGTACTATAACATACGGTGTAAAAACATAGTAAAACTAGTCAGACTGTCTATTCCCATTTAACATTTAAAGAACACATTCTGCATCACACGTAGGCACACTGTAGTCCATTATCTGTTATTATACTGAATGAAGTGTGTCGTAACGAAGAATACAAGTGGTAAGTGTATGTATGTAATGTACAGACTGCGTCGTATGGGCGTGGTGACACTGGGCCACCCCGACTCGCCCGTGGTGCCGGTGTTGGTGTACACGTTCAGCAAGATGGCGGCCACCGTGGAGCGCCTCACGGAGAGCGGCGTGGCCACCGTCGGCGTCGGCTTCCCCGCCACGCCACTCAACAAGGCGCGCATACGGTACGTGGCTGCGGTGTGTGTACGCGTGTGTGTACGCGTGTGTGTACGCGTGTGTGTACGCGTGTGTGTACGCGTGTGTGTACGCGCGAGTGTACGCGCGAGTGTACGTGTGTGTGCGCAGGTTCTGCCTGTCGGCGTCCCACTCGCGCGGCCAGCTGGAGCGCTGCGTGGAGGCGATGGCGCGCGCCGTACGCGAGCTGGGCCTGGACTACTCGCGCCAGCCGCGCTAGCACGCCGCCGCCGTCTACTTACTCGTTACTACTTACTATATTCTATAAATTATTTTCATACGTTACCTATTGTTTTCTTTTTATTACCAACTCTTTGAAACACCTATAAAATGTAGCCCTACCAGTCCCACTACGGTGTTCGGCTAAGTTGTTGTGATGTTAAATAATCTAAATCTAATTGTAAATAAAACACATAATTTCACATACACACGTACACAACTGTTGTACGTCACCCGTGACACCCAATTATTATCTCGTTAATCGCCAGCAAGTATACACGCCACTATTCAGTCAATAGGTATGTATCTCTATCTAGGCATCGTGTCTATATTTGAAGAATCTCAAATTATAATCTATAATCACACCTAACTAACATGTCTGCACGTTTCTCAATACACAGCTATAGGATTTTTGAAGAAAACTAATAGCACATATTGATTATAAATATTTAGATGCGCGCCACCTAGCGGTACGAAAAACATGTTTACTTTCATTTACGACGATTCACACGAGGAAAATAAAACTATTCAATATTCAAGTGTATCGTTGTAGATACAGTAAATATAATAATAATACATTTGATGTTCCATGATTATTATCTACCTGATAACCATTTCGGTGAGGTTCACGGAACCGCCAGATATTGCCTATTATCTGTCCTATCTATGTAGGTCTATAAGTTCGTAGGTATATGTACATACAAATACACCGATACTTACATACATACATAGTTATCTATATAATTTTTATTATGTTTATTCATACATTTACAATGGTGAGTGGTTTCGTTGCACAATAGAGCTAAAATTAAAAGCAATAAACCTAGTAATTGTATTGTAGAGACTTACATAACATAACATAACATCACGCCTTTTATCCTCAAAGGGGTAGGCAGAGGTGCACATTATACCACTGTACAATGTAACACCCACTTTTCACTATTTATGTTATGAGTCCCATGTAATAGGGGGTGAGCCTATTGCCATATACCGGGCACAGTTCCAGACTCCGTGCTACTACTGAGAATTTTTAAAAACCCAGTAATACTTTGCCCGACCCGGGAATCGAACCCGAGACCCCTTGCTCGGCAGTCGCAATTGCGACCACTCGGCCAACGAGGCAGTCGAGGCCAAAGAGGAGTTGTAGAGACTTCTATCCAAATATTGGGCGAGAAGAAAGATTTTATAAATCTCGACATTGCTTGGAGGCCAATGCTGTAACAATACTCTTTCTCGACACACTTTAACTCATTCTATTTATGTCAAATTATGTCGGACAATCACTGTATGAGTACTATTCTGTGGTATAGGTAGAGTCGTGACACTGCCTACTACTGGGGATCGGAACAAGAAGCAATGCTCGATTCATTATTATTTGGTTGTTCAAGTAACTATGTACTGTAAGCTACCTACCTGTGGTACAGTCTGCATTGACATTTACTATACAGATAACAAAATAAATATTGATTCAGTACAGAGACAGTAACCATTGGCTACTCACCGATGCTTACAGAAGATGTGACTTGGTTAAAAATTATATAATTTAGTATAATAAGTAGCTACTGTTTCTGTACCAAGTCGATCTTTATTTCCGTACAGGCGTAGTAAATAGCTGTAGGTACTGACTGTACGTCTATCGGATAGCTTTCTACAAAACTGGGGCGGGTATAAAAATTACATGATAGCACTTGTTTAATTTTAGCATCCATGGATAAGATAAACACTGTGACTCATCATTTTCATGTATTGTACCATGAGGTATGTGGCGACAGAACAGATCTGCATGATTATTTACTCAGCTGTTTTTACTTCTAGATGATTTACCCGGCTCCATCACTGACTTGAGAACCATAATGTTAAGGCGCACCTACTGTTAATCGTCTTTCAAGTTTCAACATTTGATACATGTGTAAGTACCTTCCTGGGTACTATACGTACTGGCTGAACAAATCAGTAAATGAATCACACCTCCGTATCTGCTTATCACTCATGGTGCAGATATGACAGATAACACTGGAACTCGCCTAGTTGCCCACCGACCACGCTCACTGTCACCTGCTGTTTATTATTTAAGTTTTGTGAATGATGATGGTTTGTGTGTGAATGTAAGAGAGTATGGCGCGCGAGACATCGTGGCCGTCGAGGAGCGCGCAGTGCGCGTGCGCGGTGCTGGCGCTGCTGGGCGCGGCGCGCGCCGACACCGTCACCATCGACACCAAGCAGTGAGCTCCACACTACACCACTCACACGATCACTTCTCCCTTCCCTGCACCACCTCGCTGTGTACTAACTACCAATCTATTGATTATTTTTTTACTAATCGTGGAACGTAGGCACATGCCTAATTGCCTAGATACTACATGATTTAATCCAACATCTGATTCAAAAACCAAAAAGGCACTATCGAACTATTTGCTCGTGCAAAATAAAGAGTTGAATAATGGTAATACTACAATTTATACATTTTATATGTTGTTGTAAATATAAAATGTAGTAGGTATAGGAGGACGTTTAGCACTGCCGTACTTGTAGCACTTGTTTGGCACTAATATGATATGGACATGTCGTTTAAAACTCGCTTCCACCAATAACAAAATTGAATGAATCGCGACGATATTATTATCAATTTACAAAAATAACTAGGTAGGTGTAATTAATACTAAAAAATAAAATCAGTCATGTAAATACACGCAAATTGTAGAAATCCGCAGGGTAGTGAATACAAAATAAAACTCAATATATTAGGTGTATGAATGTTTTGGTTTGTATATAGTCACCTGTAGGACACTGACACACTCGCGGCATTACCCGACAGGCTCACGTTCGAGGAGACGCACGAGCTGGTGGTGAACGCGTCCGTGGAGTTTATCTTGAACTTCGCACCGGTAAGTCCTCACTTCCTGTAGGCTGTGCCTGTACTCCAGGCACTGTAAGTCAACAGGCAAATAAATATGTTCTGGTAGAAGTACTTATCCATGTGAATCTGATTGGACCACGTGAACTGAGGGTCCCGGTTTACCTTGAAACCCATCGAGGTTTCATCAACATATTTAGTTAACACATTGTCCGCTCTCTTTGAAATTTGTAGAACCCAGGACAAGGAGTGTGGCCAATACGAGTTTGGATTAAAACAGACGGTGGCGACACGTCTCGACCACTACTTGTCACCGCGAGGCGAAGAATAGGTAAAGTTGATGTCAGCGTAATGTGACGTAGTGGTACGACCCGCGAGGCTAGTAGTACACGAGTGTGTGTGTGTGTGCGTGTGTGCGTGCAGGCGCGGTGACGTGGCAGCTGCCGCAGCGCTCCGGCAGCTCGCTGCTGTACCAGCTGGAGCGGACGCTGTGCCCGGACGACAGCGTCGACGTCGAGAAACTCGATGAAAACTGTGGTCAGTAACTACTTCTACGAGTCTATCTTACAAAATTTAATATTTTCACAGTCTACTCGAACTCTACTAGTACCAATAGTTATGTGAAACTTACTGTGTCGTAAGTTCGACTGCCAAGTTAAAGCATCTCGGGTTCGAATCCTAGGTGGGTCAAAACATTTCAGCAGTTTTTGGAAAACGATTACCTTCTGTTGGTTGTAATGTATACCTACATATCCTCGCGGTCTTTAGATTCGGACGATCCATCCCAATCACCTACGGGAGAGTTCTCCCTGCACGTGGGCTCGTCGTGCGCGGCGCCGACCCGCGTGCAGCTCCGCGCGTCCTTCGTGCGCGACTGGCGCCTGCCCTTCAGGTCCTCCACCACCTTGATCACGCAACAGGTACGTTTTTCGAATCCGCTAATAATTAAGTACCCGCTTACTTACGCTGTACTTATTTACAAGCCTTCAATTAGATGCAAGTTATCAAAAGTTTAACTGATGATGATTATGTTTTATTGGTAACTTATACTGCAAATAACTGCCTCGTTGGCCGAGTGGTCGCAAGTGCGACTGCCGGGCAAAGGGTCTCGGGTTCGATTACCGGGTCGGGCAAAGTAGGTATTACTGGGTTTTTAAAAATCTCAGTAGTAGCACGGACTCTGGTAATGTGCCCGGTATATGGCAATAGGCTCGCCCCCTATTACATGGGACTCATAACATATATAGTGAAAAGTGGGTGTTACATTGTACAGTGGCCTAATGTGCACTTCTGCCCATCCCTTCGGGGATAAAAAAGCGTGATGTTATATATATTATGTTATGGTAACTCATACCTACTTATATAATGCCTAATTGAAGTAAATAACGAGAGTTAATCAGTAAAGTAACAAGTGTGGGCGATGTGTGGCAGGGAGCGCCGCGCGTGCACACGTACCAGTTCCTGCCGGGGCAGGCCAGCGTGCGCCTCGTCGTGGAGGCGGACGACGACGTCTGCGCCACCATCGCCGTGCAGAACTACACGGTCTGTATACTTTGTTCAATGGACTTTCAATTTACATGCAGATGTTACTAAGTAGGTACTTAACGAGTTAAATAAAAAATACCTAAACTGTTTCAGTGCCCGATAGCAGAAACTCTGGAGGATATTGAAATATCGAGCCTGAGGATGACCGTGTTGCGGTCCGGCGCGATGCAGCTCTCGGTAACAACGAGCACGCAGTGGAGAAGGTATGTGGCTGGAGGACGAGGTATTAAGCGCGGACTGTGTTACATGGGCGCAGCGGAGCCGGTACCCGCGCGGCTTCTACGTGGTGGCCGTCGTGCACGACTCGGACACTGCGTGCCGCGAGGACGACCCCGCCGAGGTGGACTGGCTGTGGGAGGCCGCCATACTGGAGCAACTGCAGGAGCATGACCACACGTCGCCGCCGCGCCGCAAGACGCTCACGCTGCACGTCCGGGTAAGGCACGCCGCCGCCACAGGGGCTGCCGGGCAGTGGCCGGGCAGTGGGTGCGTGGCGGTGCGAGCTGAGTGTTTGTGTGTGCAGGCGTCGCTGTCCCGCGAGCAGTACGCGCTGGGCGCGGGCGTGTCGCTGGCGGTGTTCGTGTCGTTCTACTTGTTGTTCGGCGGGCTGGTGCTGGCGCAGCGCCTGCCGCGCTGGAAGCAGCTGGTCGGCCCGCGCGCCGTCCTCGCACGCAGTGAGACATGCTTCTTGTGAACACAAATACTTTCATCGTAGCAAATGTATTTAAAACATCTTTACTTTTAGAGCCGGAAGAAGGTACAAGGTCTGAGATCGACAGCTCTGCATCACTGTCACCCCGACGACGACGACGCCGCGACTCAAGTGAGTCTCTCCACTCTCCACTTTACCTAATGATTGCGCTGATATCCGAAGGATCAAGATCAATCAAATATTTTCTCTTACAGTTAATAGCAAACTGTTACTTTAACTTTTAATCTTTGTTTAGACAAAGATGAGAATAATGTTTTCACTTGTAGCTGCAACGTTCGACAGCAGCGACAACAGTGACACAGACGAAGAAGAAACAGCGACCGGCACCACCGTCGTCACCACCATCGCTCCCCCACCTGTCGGGGGCACCGCCACCACTCCCCCACCTGTCACAGGGACCGACACCATCCAGGAGGAGCGCGCCGTGGCAGTGGCTAGTGTGGGCACGGACCCCGCGCCCCCCACCGACGAGGTCACCATGAGGACGGACTCTATAGTAGTGCCCGCCGGCGACGACACGCGGCGCTCCGCCACCGAACAGTCCACTCAAACCAGTAACGGTATACACGGCCTGGAAACTGCAGAAGAACAGGTAACAATATGCAACTTTAAAAAAAAGTTGCCTCACACAAGGATTATCTCCTGTGTCGTGGGTGCATTTACAAACATACAAGTTCACGTATGTACATATGACACCCATTTTCGAAATATGGATCATAAAAGCGCGGGAATTATACCCACTACACGTTGCGTGGCAGCCGGATGCCCAGCCACCGCGCTATCGTCTATCAGTCCTCTTAATATCCCAAACGAAGTAGTTGGAAAAGAAAGAATACTATTGCCCTGTACCTACTAGTGGGTACCGCCTGGTTGTCGTGGTCTGTGAAGTGTAACCATTGTTAGTCAAGTATGTCGCGTGCGTACAATGTCGTGGCGGTATGTCGCAGGGCGCGGCGCCGCGTCCGTTCGGGCTGCCGGCGCGCCTGCGCGTGGCGGGGCTGGCGCGGCGGCGCGCGCGCGTGCTGGCGGCGCGCTCCGACCGCTACCTGTACACGCTGTACACCGTCGGGCTGTTCTACGCGCTGCCCGTGCTGCAGTTCGTGGCCGCCTTCCAGATCGTGAGTATACTCTAATGGCACGGCGGCAGGCCGGGCCGGCCGGGCCCGCGTAACGCGCTGTGTCCCTTTAGTTCCTGAACGTGTCGGGCTCGCTGGACGTGTGCTACTACAACTTCCTGTGTGCGCACCCGGTGGCGGGTCTGTCGGACTTCAACCACGTGTTCTCCAACATCGGCTACTTACTGCTGGGCGCGCTGTTCATGCTGCAGGTGCGCCGCCGCAAGATGCGACGGAAGAGGAAGCCCAGGGACGAGGTACTGACCCACCGCGGACTACTACAACAAAACATAGCGTCTTCTATTAATTCTCTGAAATATGATAGTGATCGTGTGTCGTGTATAGGAGTACGGTATCCCGGCGCACTACGGGCTGCTGTCGTCGCTGGGCGCCGCCATGATGATGGTGGCGCTGCTGTCCGCCACGTACCACGTCTGTCCCAACGCACTCAACTTCCAATTCGGTCGGTGTAACGTATATACTTCTTTATTTTTACCGACTTCAAAGAAAGGAGGACGTACTATGTTCGGCTGATAGATTATTTTTTCATTTGTTTCCCGATTACTCCGCCATTTGTGAACCGATTTAAAAAATTCTTATTTTGTTTGAAAGGGTATTCTCCCGACCCGAGATGGTCTCATTTCCATGAGGTCAGGATCTGATGGTGGAATCCTAGGGAAACCGAGGAGAACTTTCGAAACTTGTAGGGGCGAGTAATGCGTCTATTATATTTTTCAATTAGTATATTTAAACACTACAATTTGATAAGGGTCTGGAGACGACCTGATGATAGAGCCGACAGATAGTCGAGGGAACTCCTCAAATTTGTATTGATGAGGACTTTACACCTAGATGGAATGGGACTGCCGTTAAGGGTCTGATGATGAAGAAGTGTAATTGTTAAGGGAACTCCTCAATGGTGTACAGTAACTACCTTTGCAGGCTTGTATAATTTGTACTGATTAGAACTTTTCACCTATGTGGATTATGAGTGGCAGAACGGATCTAAGTACGTAGCTTTACACAAAAAATGATAAAATAAAAAAAATATTAACTCTGCGTTTAAAAAAACTAAAAACTAATAAGAAAGAAATTACTATTATTAGTACTGATAGGTTACCCACCCACTGATAGGTTAGAAGTCGGCGCCATAAGCTTATATCATAATTTATTTATTTATTTATTTATTTATTTATTTATTTATTTATTTATTTATTTATTTATTTATTTATTTATTTATTTATTTATTTATTTATTTATTTATTTATTTATTTATTTATTTATTTATTTATTTATTTATTTATTTATTTATTTATTTATTTATTTATTTTTCCACTTACATTTATCATTACAGGTTAATGCCCAATGCGAAATAAAATAACATATAACTTAATGGCCACAAAATTGTAAATTAGGTATCTATTAAGGTTTTAATGAATAGTTTTGTATAGAACTTATGGCGCCGACTTCTAACCTATCGGTGGTAGGTAACCTATCAGTACTAATAACAGTTATTTTTGGCTTTTTAGTTTATACCATTTGTTTGTTATTAGTTTTTGGTATTTTGAAGTTCGATTTTTAAACACAGTTTTTATTTTTTTATTTAATATAATTGTTTATTTATACTTAGAGTTTAATACTTGTAATTCCATGCGTCGCTCCACCAAGTGCAACTACCACTTCTAGTAACAATACCCCATAGTTTTACTTTAGCTTTGTGTACTATTGCATATTGCATGGGCATATATAGGTACAATTATACTGACTAAGTGACAACGTTATATTACTTGTACCACTTGGACTCCTTAGACTCCGAGTATCGTGTGGAGGTATATAGTCAGTATGTATGTATATTGTATACGTACGCGATGCATTACAGACACGGCGTTCATGTACGTGCTGGCGGTGCTGTGCATGGTGAAGATATACCAAGCTCGCCACCCCGACATCAACGCGCGCGCGCACGCGACCTTCGGCGTGCTCGCCGTGCTCATCTTCCTCGGTAACACACGCACACTACCTTCCTACCCAATATTATTTGGAGAATATATCAATGTATTTTTTATGACGTAAGCCGGTAAACCAGACGGATCACCTGATAAGCAACCTGGTAAGCAATCGGCGCCGCCCACGGACACCTATGTAGACAATCAAGGCGTTTCAAGCAGTGGCGGCTGTACCTACCTTAAGTGCGCTCGTGCTGGACCACCAATTCAAAAGATTTAAAAATTGTTTTTATAATAACTATCGTGAGACATACTAAATTAACTAAAATCACGGGCTACTCACGTGAATATATATGTACTGAGAAAAGCTCTGACGGACGATGTTAAAGCGCACGGTACGGGTTAGGCACAAAATCTGTTGATAATTCATAAAATTGCTGTAATCTGGAACTTGTCAATTGTAATTTACGAATAATAGTTGCATGCCTTGATTAGTGGAACATGATGAACTGCGCATTCATCTAATATCTTGAAATGCATCTAAATGTACTGTGTTCAGCAATAAAGATATTTGATTTGTTATATGCAACACTGACTTTGTGCCGAACCCGGAATCGAACCTACTACCCACGCCGCTGGTGAACGTACCGTGCGCTTTAACATCGTCGGTCAGAGCTTTTCTCAGTGAATTGAATTTGAGGATTGTAGAAAATTCGGGGATTGGGGAGACTGGGAAGAGGGGGGGGGGGGATTGGGCCTCCTGTAACTTCACTCACACGACAAAACACAACGCAAGTGTTGTTTGACGTCGGTTTTCTGCTCGGCCGTGGTATCACTCCGGTCGAGTCGGCCCATTCGTGCCGAAGCATGGCTCTTCCACACATAATTTCTGAAGCGACGAAGGTTAATAAGTGACGTGTAGCGAGTGTGTGTGTGTGTGTGTGTGTGTGTGTACAGTGGTGTGGGGCGTGCTGGGCGGCGGGCCGTTGTTCTGGAGCGTGTTCACGGTGCTGCACGTGTTCACCTTCCTACTGCTGTCGCTGCGCATCTACTACGTGGGACAATTCCGCCTCGGTACCTACCTCGCAACATTGCGCGTTTATTATTAAACACATACACGGGCTGACTGACGCATGGACCGACACATTCATTTAATAGACTTTGAAGTATACAACAACATTTATTTTGGATCACTAGACCCTCAAACAAAAATAAAAATATTTCGAGTTTAAGGTAACATTTTGGACCAACCCTGACATTTACGACGAAGGGATTTCGGGTCATCCCAAATCCCTGAAGAAAAATTGTCGGTACATGCGCCAAACACTCTGTATATGTATTATTACTGTTGTGTCGTTTTCCAATAAAGACTTTTTCTTAAGAACACTTGTAGATCACACATAACATAAAATCACGCCTTTTATCCCCGAAGAGGCAGGCAAAGGTGCACATTATATGACTGTACAATGTAACACTCACTTTTCACTATTTATGTTATGAGTCCCATGTAATAGGGGGTGAGCCTATTGCCATATACCGGGCAAAATTCCAAACTCCGTGCTAACCAAGATTTTTTTTAAAACACAGTAATACTTTGCCCGACCCGGGAACCGAATCTTGCCCGGCAGTCGCACTAGCGACAACTCGGTCTTTGAGGCCCTTGTATATCTTATATAGGAATTAGAGTTCATGCACTCGTCGCCGCCACCGCGCTTGTAGGTACCTCTCTTTGATTCATTCCATTACCGGACGGTGAGCGCGTCAGTGCGGGGCCACGGGGCCGGCAATGGAATGGGACACCCGCGCGGCTGTAATGGCGCGGTGGCGGTGAGAGACACGCAGATCCCAAACAAGTCCGTGTTGTATGTGTATCGTGGTGCATGTACTCAGTACGTGTGTATCATGTACTAGAGAAGCAGAGCCTGGCGGAGGCGGCGCGCGAGCTGGCGTCGGTCCCGGCGCGCGGGCTGCGGCCGCTGTACAGCGCGCGCCTCATCATGTTGCTCATTGCCAACGCAGTCAATTGGGGCTTCGCACTCTACGGGTACCTCCCACTTGTTTTTTAAATTATGTAATCGACCGATGGTCTGCCTCTACCTTGACTGGTGGTGAGCGATGATGCGGCCTAAGATGGAATACTCCTACCATAAGGAACCTATTCACTCAAGCCCTGGTCGTTTGTACAGTATAGAGGTATACTTTGGAAAACAGACTCACGTCTGGTCCCACTTGCTTTGCGTCCGGCTCCGCCTGTGTAAGTGTGTGTGCGCAGACTGTTCACGCAGAGCGCGGACTTCGCGTCGCACCTGCTGGCCGTGCTGCTGGGCAACACGCTGCTGTACATGGTGGTGTACCTGTGCATGAAGCTGCTGCACGGGGAGCGGCCGCGCTGGTACGCCTGGCTCTACCTCGCCGCCGCCTCCGCCGCCTGGGCGCCCGGGGTCTACTTCTTCGTCTCCGGCAGCACCAACTGGTACCGTCTATATTATTATGTTGTTTTACAATCGATGTAGAGTACCTGACATGTATTTATATGAAAAGTAACTTACAGGTTACATAAACATCTATATCACATTGTCCAAACCAAGGCCATATCGTTCTAAAAGCTACCTGCAATGTTAGAATAGGCGGAACATGAGATGGGTTGACTTTGTGTGACAGGGCGACGACGCCGGCGCTGTCGCGGCATCTCAACCACGAGTGCCGCGTGCTACAGTTCTACGACTCCACGACTTGTGGCACTTCCTGTCGGCCATGGCTCTCTACTTCACCTTTAATGTACTGCTCACGTGGGACGACGGGCTCGCTGCCGTCAAACGCACCGAAATTGCAGTGTTTTAATAAATGCCTCTCTTATTAATGAATTTATTTTGCTGCCTACCTTTCCCCGTTTTTACCCGACCGTAGGAAGGGTATTCTCAATAAGTACAAGTACTACACGGTGGACAATTTACACGAGCAAGCGCAACGTTCGCCGCATCATCTGTCGTCGCGAATTCTGATGAGCATGATTCTCTCACGATGAGTCCATTCGTGGCCCGAAACTAGTTGAACAACCTCGTCAAACAGTTATGTGAAGAATCCATATTGCATACTATATTACGCTGTGTTCTTCGTGCATGCGAATCGTCATCGTTCGTTTTTGTTTCCGCTAATATAACCAAACAAAATCATAACAGCGCGAAAATATAAAACCAAATATCAAACAAATAATTCTGGCCGCGTCATTTCGCAGTGCTCCGCACCGCATTCATACTTAGGACACTTCAATGGGTTTCGACAGTTTGTTGTTTTCGCGCCGCGCCGTACCTTTTCGTATTCGCTTCTAGATCGCTCACGCAGTACGTAGCGTTACAGCGACTGCAGGCTGCAGATAAACCCGCTACTTACTCTAAGGCTACTTGTACACACATGGTTTTTCGATGTGAAAATCTTGGGTTAATTCAGCGTAACAGGCACCACGTAAAAGGCACCACGTCACGGCGCCACCGTCGTTTTCATCTTGTAGATAGACATATTATCCATTTATTGCCGGGTATTCATTCATTTGCCGCATGTTATTTGAGTTATTTATTTAATAATTTTGAAATTAAACGCCACTGAGCCGTACTTAGCTGAAGTCTAGCCCGGTGGTTCTGCCTAGTTTTTTTTATACCACGACGGTGGCAAAAAGGCACACGGCCCACCTGATGGTAAGCGGTTACCGTGACCTATGTACGCCTGCAACACTTGGAGCATTACATGCGTCTTGCCGACCCTTAAAAAACCTATTCACTGCCCTCTTGAAGAACCTCATGTTGTAGCCCACTGGGAAAACCACGGCAGGGAGCTCATTCCACAATCGGAGGGTCCGTGGGAGAAAATTCCTCTGAAACCGAACTGTACGGGACCATTTTGGCTCCAATGAGTGAGCGTGAACCCCCTGTCAATGCCGTGGACATCATATCAAATAATTCCGCAGAACATAACCCATTATACAAGCGGTAGAACACGCACAAGGAGGCAAAATCTCTCCTTAGACTTAAGTGCTCGATACCGCTCGTAAGTATAGGATCGTCAACAAGTCTTACAGCTCTCCTTTGGACCGCGTCAAAAGGTCCAAGCTGGTATGCTGGCGCTCCTGCCCAGAGATGAGAGCAGTACTCCATATGGGGGCGAACTTGCGATTTATATAAAAGCAGTCTTTGTCCCGGCGTGAAGTACCGCTTCGGTGTGCTAAACAACACCGAGTTTTTTAGATGCCAGCTTGGCCTTGTCTTCTAAGTGACTACGGAACTGGACGTCACTAGATATGTCGACACCAAGGATACCTATACTTTTGGAGATGTTAAGGGTAGTGTCTTGGAATTTAGGGGCCATAACGAATGGGGTTTTTTCGAATAGTTTTGTATAGCAATAGTCAAAAGTGCCACCAGTCTCAAAACACTATTGCATAGCAATATTAGTGGTACTTATGACCTTCTATATTTTTAATCTAAGCGTCGTTATTAAAATATGAGGGAGGGTAGATTTGAAACAAAGTGATAAATTCACTTTAAATCTACCCTTATTTTAACTAATTTTCTATGATAGATTATTCCGGTATTCGCTGTTGATTGGTGAACATACTACTGACTAGTGTTCGTGTTATCTTGTTGTTATGATTTTATTCTTTTGTATTCATTATGCAGGCTAATATTAGTATCGAAGCCAAAACAAATATTGTGACCCTATATTCGGATTCGGATATAACTAGGAATTAATGTTTAGTCTGCTTATCAATTATAAGCAAATAAATGATCTTAAAGTTAAATATCAAAACGCCCAATAATAAAAAAAATAAAAAATAACGCACCCCCACCACCTCCGGACTCGTCGCTCAGCTCCGCCTCGCCATCGCCGGAACCCCGCTCCGCTGGAACGCCGGTGACTGCAGTTGCGTCGAGCTCGAGCGACGACTATTTCTCCCCACCTACGTCGCCACCACCTGTACGTCGGCCGGGGAGAGGCCGGCCACCGACTGGCTTGGGAACCAGGGGCCATCAGGCCCTGGGACGGGTCCCCGCTACCGGTGGTTGTGTGCGGCGCATGAAATGGACTCAAAGTATAAACGAGAACGTCATGCGCGCATACTACGGTGCTACAGAGGGAGGAACTAACCTCACGGCGTACCGTGAAAGGATGCTGTCTATGTTTCAGGTGCTTGAACCATCTGTCAACGTCTCGGCCCAACGACTCTCGGATCAAGTGCGGGTCATCCAACGTAATTGCAGATTGGATGAGACTACGCTTGATCGGCTACGCCTTGAAGCACTGCGCAACCGTGTCGTCCCCGCACCACCACAATTGGTGGCACAGACACCTGTAGTGTCACAATGTGTGACATCGACCACTCCTATCGTTGGAGTGGAGGACGACAGGGTTGAACAAGTGAGTACTCAGTGCAATGAACGTCTGAGGAGTGCTTTGGAGGATGCGGTTCGTGAGTACAGACTTGCTCCTAGTAATTTAAGACCAAAGTTACCACGTTTGCCCATGTGTAGAAAAAATAGGGCGCTGGTGAGCGCCTTGGATTCGCTACTTAAAAATTATTTTGAGGTAGCGAAAACCTCTATGATACACACTCAATCTTGTACTGTGGGGCAGTTGCTGCTTGTCGAGTGGCTAACGTCAGATTCCCAAATCTTGACGCAGCAGTCCGACCAAAACCAGCAGTACCTGCCTGGCAGTGCAGGATAGAGCGTCGTATCAGTGAGGCCAGGGTACTCATTGGCAAACTATCCTGCTTCAGGGAGGGCAATACTCGCCCTAGAGTGATGCGCTTTGTAAGACGTGCATTTGTGGGGACTGAAATCAGTCCTCATGAATACTTATCACGTGTTACAGAACGCATCGACTTCCTGAAGCAGAAAGTTTATGCATGGGCAAACCGTATCAGAAGGTACAAAAAAAGAGTGGAGCGCTATACTCAGAATCGCATGTTCCAAAGAGATCAGAGGTGGGTATACAGAGATTGGGAACGATCCAACCAAGATGTGGCTGACGGGAGGCGACCGGATGATGATGCCACAACACATTTTGGCGCAACATCTGGTCGGTGCCTGTTAGCCACACAGAAGGTGACTGGATGTTTGATGTTAAGCGAAGGTGTGAGACTATACCAGAGATGGAGGAGGTAGTAATCACCTCCTCTGATGTAGCCAGTGCAGCCTGTTCGGTCCCGAATTGGAAACCGGGGCCGGACGGACTGCACAATTTCTGGATTAAATGGCTCAAGAGTTCACACGTTCGCTTAGCATTACACTTCCAGGCAGCTTTGGAAACTGGGTCGTTACCACAATTTCTAACAACAGGAGTTACCCACTTGCTCCATAAATCAGGTAGTTCCACTGAGCCCAAAAATTATAGACCAATCACATGTCTACCAACGGTCTATAAACTTCTTACATCCATTTTGAGGACAAAAATAACAAAACATATTAAAAAAAATTCCATCATGTCGGTATCTCAAAATGGATGTAGGGAGGGGTCTCGTGGAACTAAGGAGCTACTCCTCATTGATATGGTTGTTAGCCAACAGGTTCGTCGGTCCCGAAAAGATTTGTCTACATGCTGGATAGACTATAAAAAAGCATATGATTCTGTGCCACATACATGGCTCCTGAAGGTGCTGGAGTTGTATAAAATACATGCAAGTTTACGCGCCTTCTTGGAGTCATGTATGAGGCAGTGGAGCACCGTGCTTTGCTATCCGGGATGTAGACAAATCCAAGGGAATGAAGAACCTGTAAGGATAGTACGAGGAATATTCCAGGGTGACAGCCTGAGCCCACTATGGTTCTGCTTGGCCTTGAATCCTCTAAGTACTCTACTGGAGGATTCAGGGCTAGGCTATCCTTTGCGGAGAAGGGGTCTAGTTATATCCCACTTACTTTACATGGATGACCTCAAGTTGTTTGCTCCAAACAAGAAACAACTGATGGAACTACTGAATATAACTGAAAAATTTAGTAGTTCCATCAGAATGGAGTTTGGAGTAGACAAGTGTGCGGTCATGCATGTGAAGCGAGGAGGGATTGTGGAATCTGAGGGACTAGAACTCTCAGATTTCACAAAACTGAGATCACTCTCCGCAAACGATACATACAAGTACCTGGGTATGTCAGAAGGATTAGGCATTAATGGACCGGACATGAAGCAATCGCTACAGGAGCGCTTCTTTGGCCGCCTGAATAAGGTACTAAAAAGTTCCTTATCAGGCGGAAACAAGGTGCGAGCCTTTAACGGTTGGGTCATGCCAGTCCTAATGTATTCTTTTGGTTACTCAAGTGGACACAGACTGAACTTGACACCCTGGATAGACGAGTCCGGACCCTGCTGACTGCAAATCGCATGCATCACCCTCGTTCGTCGGTCATGAGGTTGTACATCCCGCGGAAGTGTGGTGGTCGAGGCTTATTAAATGCTAAGACCCTTCACAACCGTGAGGTGTGCAGCCTCAGGGAATATTTCCTGAAAGTCAACGAGGGTATGCATCGAGAAGTAGCAGCGGTGGACAATGGATTCACTCCGCTATCCTTGGCAAAAGAGAACTGGCGCAAACCTGTGGTACTGAGCGTCAATGATCGCAAGGAGGTATGGCATAGCAAGGAGCTCCACGGACGCTTCTTCCGGGCCCTTCATGGGCCCAGTGTAGATTTTCTAGCGTCCGTATCTTGGCTACGATTCAGTAATCTCTTTGGAGAAACTGAAGGATTTGTCTGTGCAATTATGGACGAAGTTATCCTTACGAATAACTACCGGAAATATATAATTAAGGATGGGACGGTTGACATATGTCGGGCATGTCATAGTCCTGGTGAATCCATTAGACATATTATTTCTG